TAACACTACACAGATGGTATGTAACACTACACAGATGGTATGTAACACTACACAGATGGTATGTAACACTACACAGATGTTATTTAACACTACACAGATGGTATGTAACACTACACAGATGGTATGTAACACTACACAGATGGTATGTAACACTACACAGATGGTATGTAACACTACACAGATGGTATGTAACACTACACAGATGGTATGTAACACTACACAGATGGTATGTAACACTACACAGATGGTATGTAACACTACACAGATGGTATGTAACACTACACAGATGGTATGTAACACTATATGGTATGAAACACTACACAGATGGTATGTAACACTACACAGATGGTATGTAACACTACACAGATGGTATGTAACACTACACAGATGGTATGTCACACTACACAGATGGTATAGTATGTAACACTACACAGATGGTATGTAACACTACACAGATGGTATGTAACACTACACAGATGGTATGTAACACTACACAGATGGTATGTAACACTACACAGATGGTATGTAACACTACACAGATGGTATGTAACACTACACAGATGGTATGTAACACTACACAGATGGTATGTAACACTACACAGATGGTATGTAACACTACACAGATGGTATGTAACACTACACAGATGGTATGTAACACTACACAGATGGTATGTAACACTACACAGATGGTATGTAACACTACACAGATGGTATGTAACACTACACATGTAACATGGTATGTAACACTACACAGATGGTATGTAACACTAAACAGATGGTATGTAACACTACACAGATGGTATGTAACACTACACAGATGGTATGTAACACTACACAGATGACATTTAACACTACACAGATGGTATGTAACACTATATGATACGTAACACTACACAGATTGTATGTAACACTACACAGATGGTATGAACAACTACACAGATGGTATGTAACACTATAAAGATGGTATTTAACACTATATGGTATGTAACACTATACAGATGGTATGTAACTCTACACAGATGGTATGTAACACTACACAGATGGTATGTAACACTACACAGATGGTATGTAACACTACACAGATGGTATGTAACACTACACAGATGGTATGTAACACTACACAGATGGTATGTAACACTACACAGATGATATGTAACACTACACAGATGGTATGTAACACTACACAGATGGCATTTAACACTACACAGATGGTATGTAACACTACACAGATGGTATGTAACACTATATGGTATATAACACTACACAGATGGTATGTAACACTACACAGATGGTAACACAGATGGTATGTAACACTACACAGATGGTATGTAACACTACACAGATGGTATGTAACACTACACAGATGGTAAGTAACACTACACAGATGGTATGTAACACTACACAGATGGTATGTAACACTACACAGATTGTATGTAACACTAGATGGTATGTAACACTACACAGATGGTATGTAACACTACACAGATGGTATGTAACACTACACAGATGGTATGTAACACTACACAGATGGTATGTAACACTACACAGATGGTATGTAACACTACACAGATGGTATGTAACACTACACAGATGGTATGTAACACTACACAGATGGTATGTAACACTACACAGATGGTATGTAACACTACACAGATGGTATGTAACACTACACAGATGGTATGTAACACTACACAGATGGTATGTAACACTACACTGATGGTAACACAGATGGTATGTAACACTACACAGATGGTATGTAACACTACACAGATGGTATGTAACACTACACAGATGGTATGTAACACTACACAGATGACACTACACAGATGGTATGTAACACTACACAGATGGTATGTAACACTAGATGGTATGTAACACTATATGGTATGTAACACTACACATATGGTATGTAACACTACACAGATGGTATGTAACACTACATAGATGGTATTTAACACTATATGGTATGTAACACTATACAGATGGTATGTAACTCTACACAGATGGTATGTAACACTACACAAATTGTATGTAACACTACACAGATGATATGTAACACTTCACAGATGGTATGTAACACTACACAGATGGTATGTAACACTACACAGATGGTATGTAACACTACACAAATGATATGTAACACTACACAGATGGTATGTTATACTACACAGATGGTATGTAACACTATACAGATGGTATGTAACACTACACAGATGGTATGTAACACTACACAGATGGTATGTAAAACTGTACAGATGGTATGTAACACTATATGGTATGAAACACTACACAGATGGTATGTAACACTACACAGATGGTATGTAACACTACACAGATGGTATGTAACACTACACAGATGGTATGTCACACAGATGGTATGTAACACTACACAGATGGTATGTAACACTACACAGATGGTATGTAACACTACACAGATGGTATGTAACACTACACAGATGGTATGTAACACTACACAGATGGTATGTAACACTACACAGATGGTATGTAACACTACACAGATGGTATGTAACACTACACAGATGGTATGTAACACTACACAGATGGTATGTAACACTACACAGATGGTATGTAACACTACACAGATGGTATGTAACACTACACAGATGGTATGTAACACTACACATATGGTATATAACACTACACAGATGGTATGTAACACTACACAGATGGTAACACAGATGGTATGTAACACTACACAGATGGTATGTAACACTACACAGATGGTATGTAACACTATACAGATGGTATGTAACACTACACAGATGGTATGTAACACTATATGGTATGTAACACTACACAGATGGTATGTAACACTACACAGATGGTATGTAACACTACACAGATGATATGTAACACTACACAGATGGTATGTAACACTACACAGATGACATTTAACACTACACAGATGGTATGTAACACTACACAGATGGTATGTAACACTACACAGATGGTATGTAACACTACACAAATTGTATGTAACACTACACAGATGGTATGTAACACTATATGATATGTAACACTACACAAATTGTATGTAACACTACACAGATGATATGTAACACTTCACAGATGGTATGTAACACTACACAGATGGTATGTAACACTATACAGATGGTATGTAACACTACACAGATGGTACGTAACACTACACAGATGGTATGTAACACTACACAGATGGTATGTAACACTATATGGTATGTAACACTACACAGATGGTATGTAACACTACACAGATGGTATGTAACACTACACAGATGGTATGTAACACTACACAGATGGTATGTAACACTATGTAACAGATGGTATGTAACACTACACAGATGGTATGTAACACTACACAGATAGTATGTAACACTATACAGATGGTATGTAACACTACACAGATGGTATGTAACACTACACAGATGGTATGTAACACTACACAGATGGTATGTAACACTACACAGATGGTATGTAACACTATACAGATGGTATGAAAGCTTGAGATTTGTAACAAAGTGTAGTGTTAGACTCAATACAGGACAGTGAAAAAGCTTGAGATTTGTAACAAAGTGTGTGGTTAGACTCAATACAGGACAGTGAAAAAGCTTGAGTTTTGTAACAAAGTGTGTGGTTAGACTCAATACAGGACAGTGAAAAAGCTTGAGTTTTGTAACAAAGTGTAGTGTTAGACTCAATACAGGACAGTGAAAAAGCTTGAGTTTTGTAACAAAGTGTGTGGTTAGACTCAATACAGGACAGTGAAAAAGCTTGAGATTTGTAACAAAGTGTAGTGTTAGACTCAATACAGGACAGTGAAAAGCTTGAGTTCTGTAACAAAGTGTAGTGTTAGACTCAATACAGGACAGTGAAAAAGCTTGAGATTTGTAACAAAGTGTGTGGTTAGACTCAATACAGGACAGTGAAAAAGCTTGAGTTTTGTAACAAAGTGTGTGGTTAGACTCAATACAGGACAGTGAAAAAGCTTGAGTTTTGTAACAAAGTGTGTGGTTAGACTCAATACAGGACAGTGAAAAAGCTTGAGTTTTGTAACAAAGTGTGTGGTTAGACTCAATACAGGACAGTGAAAAAGCTTGAGTTTTGTAACAAAGTGTGTGGTTAGACTCAATACAGGACAGTGAAAAAGCTTGAGTCCTGTAACAAAGTGTGGGGTTAGACTCAATACAGGACAGTGAAAAAGCTTGAGATTTGTAACAAAGTGTAGTGTTAGACTCAATACAGGACAGTGAAAAAGCTTGAGTCCTGTAGCAAAGTGTGGGGTTAGACTCAATACAGGACAGTGAAAAAGCTTGAGTCCTGTAACAAAGTGTAGTGTTAGACTCAATACAGGACAGTGAAAAAGCTTGAGTCCTGTAACAAAGTGTGGGGTTAGACTCAATACAGGACAGTGAAAAAGCTTGAGATTTGTAACAAAGTGTGTGGTTAGACTCAATACAGGACAGTGAAAAAGCTTGAGTTTTGTAACAAAGTGTGTGGTTAGACTCAATACAGGACAGTGAAAAAGCTTGAGTTTTGTAACAAAGTGTGTGGTTAGACTCAATACAGGACAGTGAAAAAGCTTGAGTTTTGTAACAAAGTGTGTGGTTAGACTCAATACAGGACAGTGAAAAAGCTTGAGTTTTGTAACAAAGTGTGTGGTTAGACTCAATACAGGACAGTGAAAAAGCTTGAGATTTGTAACAAAGTGTAGTGTTAGACTCAATACAGGACAGTGAAAAAGCTTGAGTTTTGTAACAAAGTGTGGGGTTAGACTCAATACAGGACAGTGAAAAAGCTTGAGATTTGTAACAAAGTGTAGTGTTAGACTCAATACAGGATAGAGTTTTACCTTTTTCTGTTCCTAAGGAGCAGATAAAATCTGTTTCAAAATCTCGCATTGAACGATCTATATGAAAACTGCAGTTGTTACAATGGGAGATAACTCTGCACAATAATAGTTGTTACTGAAGATTCTATCCAATTTGTATTTGTTTTTCCAGGCAGTCTACTAGTGGCATGTGCTCATAACGGGGCCTATGTGATGGGTACTGACATTAACTACCTTCTCCTTCATGCTAAAGGTAAGTTCTTCTATTGTGCAGAGTTATCTCCCATAGTGAAAACACTGAGGATAATAAATGTAAATTCAGAGTATCAAAGGGTGAAAGGCAAAAGGGCAAGAGGTCAAAGTCACACCTGAGATTTTGTTCAAGATACCTCATATTTGTTCATTAGTTTGAGGGAAGTTGGAACGGGGTTGCTTATTTTTTATATAAGTTATTTAGATGTCACTTTGACTTTTGATGTGTTATGGTTAATCATTTCACAGTCTGTTATTGATATTAGTAGGTCCTGCTTTCTACCTGAAATGTCACATTTAAAATGTTTAGACAATTTTTGTTATTTCTGCAAAAAAGAGGTCAAGGTTTGCAATGTAACTGGGTTACAAAGTATCACTTGATGTAAAAATTGTTGTACTAAAATTGATTTAAGTGTAAAAAGCAGTGAAAGCTATTTATGATGAAAGCCATATTTGCCAAGCTTTCTCAACAGAAGCTTTTTAGTAACCTTGATTATTTTACACTTATGTTTTGAAGGAATTAAAAAACGTAAACAATAATCAAGAGATGTCTTTTCCAGGTAAGCCTTCACGAGCAAAGCAGAAGAAACGAGAATCAGATGAAAGCATTCAAGCAAACCTCTGCCAATATGGTCTGGGAGACTTCTATATTGATGCAGTTGTAGGAGATGCATCCAAACACAGGATGTGGCGTCAGCAGTCAATGTTTGATGCTATAATTACTGATCGTAAGCAATCCATTTCTGAAATTTGTCTTTCTAAAGTATGATTTGATTTACAGATTACCACATTATGTTGTTGCTGCTAACTGTGTGACATTTTTTAAAGTATAAAACAGACAAAGTGAGTTAATAACAGTATACAAACACAAATATTTGTGTGTGACTTACATGAACTCTTTGTGTTGTAGCATAAGCTTACACCCTTAACTCTCACACAAATCACAGATATCTTTGTGTAACTAGACTAAAACCCTTAACACTCACACAAATCACAGATATCTTTGTGTGACCAGTCTTACAACCTTAACTCTCACACAAATCACAGATATCTTTGTGTGATATAACTTTGTGTGACTCTCACACAAAAGCTTACACCCTTAACACTCACACAAATCACAGATATCTTTGTGTGACCAGTCTTACAACCTTAACTCTCACACAAATCACAGATATCTTTGTGTGACTAACACCATTAACTCTCACACAAATTACAGATATGTTTGTGTGACTTACACCCTTAACTCTCACACAAATCACATATCTTTGTGTGACTAAGCTTACACCCTTAACTCTCACACAAATCACAGATATCTTTCTGTGACTAAGCTAACACCCTTAAGTCTCACACAAATCACAGATATCTTTCTGTGACTAGACTTACACCCTTAACTCTCACACAAATCACAGATATGTTTGTGTGACTAGGAGTTCACCCTTAACTCTCACACAAATCACAGATATCTTTGTGTGACTAGTCTTAGATTGTTAACTCTCACACAAAACACAGATATCTTTCTGAGACTAGAACACCCTTAACTCTCACACAAATCACAGATATCTTTGTGTGACCAGACTTACACCCTGAACTCTCACAGAAATCACAGATATGTTTGTATGACTAGACTTACACCCTTAACTCTCACACAAATCACAGATATCTTTATTTGACTAAGCTAACACCCTTCACTCTCAAACAAATCACAGATATCTTTGTGTGACTAGCCTTAGATTGTTAACTCTCACACAAATCACAGATATCTTTGTGTGACTATACTTACACCATTAACTCTCACACAAATCACTATATCTTTGTGTGACAGACTTACACCCTTAACTCTCACACACACAATATGTTTGTGTGACTAGACTTACACCCTTAACTCTCACACAAATCACAGATATCTTTGTGTGACTAGACTTACACCCTTAACTCTCACACAAATATCTTTGTGTGACTAGACTTACACCCTGAACTCTCACACAAATTACAGATGTTTGTGTGACTAGTCTTACACCCTTAACTCTCACACAAATCACAGATATCTGTGTGACTAGACTTACACCCTTAACTCTCACACAAATCACAGATATCTTTGTGTGACTAGACTTACACCCTTAACTCTCACACAAATCACAGATATGTTTGTGTGACTAGACTTGCACTCTTAAATCTCACACAAATCACAGATATCTTTGTGTGACCAGTCTTACAACCTTAACTCTCACACAAATCACAGATATCTTTGTGTGACTAACACCATTAACTCTCACACAAATCACAAATATTTGTGTGACTAGACTTACACCCTGAACTCTCACACAAATTACAGATGTTTGTGTGACTAGTCTTACACCCTTAACTCTCACACAAATCACAGATATTTTTGTGTGAGTAGCCTTACACCCTTAACTCTCACACAAATCACAGATGTCTGTGTGACTAGACTTACACCCTTAACTCTCACACAAATATCTTTGTGTGACTAGACTTACACCCTGAACTCTCACACAAATTACAGATGTTTGTGTGACTAGTCTTACACCCTTAACTCTCACACAAATCACAGATATATTTTTGTGACTAGCCTTACATTCTTAACTCTCACACAAATCACAGATATATTTTTGTGACTAGACTTTCAACCTTAACTCTCACACAAATCACAGATATGTTTGTGTGACTAGTCTTACACCCTTAACTCTCACACAAATCACATATTTTTGTGTGACTAAGCTTACACCCTTAACTCTCACACAAATCACAGATATTTTTATGTGACTAAGCTAACACCCTTAACTCTCACACAAATCACAGATATCTTTGTGTGACTAGGAGTTCACCCTTAACTCTCACACAAATCACAGATATCTTTGTGTGACCAGACTAACACCCTTCACTCTCAAACAAATCACAGATATCTTTGTGTGACTAGCCTTAGATTGTTAACTCTCACACAAATCACAGATATCTTTGTGTGACTATACTTACACCATTAACTCTCACACAAATCACAGATATCTTTGTTTGACTAGACTGACACCCTTAACTCTCACACAAATCACAGATATTTTGTGTGAGTAGCCTTACACCCTTAACTCTCACACAAATCACAGATATCTTTGTGTGACTAGACTTACACCCTTAACTCTCACACAAATCACAGATATCTTTGTGTGACTAAGCTTACACCCTTAACTCTCACACAAATCACAGATATGTTTGTGTGACTAGTCTTACACCCTGAACTCTCACACAAATCACAGATATGTTTGTATGACTAGACTTACACCCTTAACTCTCACACAAATCACAGATATCTTTGTGTGACTAAGCTTACACCCTTAACTCTCACACAAATCACAGATATCTTTGTGTCACTAGTCTTACACCCTTAGCTCTCACACAAATCACAGATATGTTTGTGTGACTAGTCTTACACCCTGAACTCTCACACAAATCACAGATATGTTTGTATGACTAGACTTACACCCTTAACTTTCTGTGACTAAGCTAACACCCTTAAGTCTCACACAAATCACAGATATCTTTGTGTGACTAGACTGACACCCTTCACTCTCACACAAATCACAGATATTTTTGTGTGACTAGACTTACACCCTTAACTCTCACACAAATCATAGATATCTTTATGTGACTAAGCTAACACCCTCAACTCTTACACAAATCACAGATATCTTTGTGTGACTAGACTTACACCCTTAACTCTCACACAAATCACATATATCTTTATGTGACTAGTCTTACACCCTTAACTCTCACACAAATTACAGATGTTTGTGTGACTAGTCTTACACCCTTAACTCTCACACAAATCACAAATATATTTTTGTGACTAGCCTTACATTCTTAACTCTCACACAAATCACATATCTTTGTGTGACTAAGCTTACACCCTTAACTCTCACACAAATCACATATCTTTGTGTGACTAAGCTTACACCCTTAACTCTCACACAAATCACAAATATATTTTTGTGACTAGCCTTACATTCTTAACTCTCACACAAATCACATATCTTTGTGTGACTAAGCTTACACCCTTAACTCTCACACAAATCACAGATATCTTTCTGTGACTCACACAACCTTACATTCTTAACTCTCACACAAATCACATATCTTTGTGTGACTAAGCTTACACCCTTAACTCTCACACAAATCACATATCTTTGTGTGACTAAGCTTACACCCTTAACTCTCACACAAATCACAGATATCTTTCTGTGACTAGCCTTACATAATTAACTCTCACACAAATCACAGATATCTTTGTTTGACTAGACTGACACCCTTAACTCTCACACAAATCACAGATATTTTGTGTGAGTAGCCTTACACCCTTAACTCTCACACAAATCACAGATGTCTGTGTGACTAGACTTACACCCTTAACTCTCACACAAATCACAGATATCTCTTACACCCTTAACTCTCACACAAATCACAGATATACCCTTTGTGTGTATGTTTGTGTGACTAGACTAACACCCTTAAGTCTCACACAAATCACAGATATCTTTGTGTGACTAGACTGACACCCTTAACTCTCACACAAATCACAGATATTTTTGTGTGACTAGACTTACACCCTTAACTCACACAAATCACAGATATTTTTGTGTGACTAGACTTACACCCTTAACTCTCACACAAATCACAGATATTTTTGTGTGAGTAGCCTTACACCCTTAACTCTCACACAAATCACAGATGTCTGTGTGACTAGACTTACACCCTTAACTCTCACACAAATTACAGATGTTTGTGTGACTAGACTTACACCCTTAACTCTCACACAAATCACAGATATCTTTGTGTGACTAGACTTACACCCTTAACTCTCACACAAATCACAGATGTCTGTGTGACTAGACTTACACCCTTAACTCTCACACAAATATCTTTGTTTGACTAGACTGACACCCTTAACTCTCACACAAATCACAGATATTTTGTGTGAGTAGCCTTACACCCTTACTCTCACTCTCACACAAATCTGAACTCTCACACAAATCACTTTGTGTGACTAGACTTACACCCTTAACTCTCACACAAATCACAGATCTTTGTGTGACTACGCTTACACCCTTAACTCTCACACAAATCACAGATATCTTTGTGTGACTAACACCATTAACTCTCACACAAATCACAAATATTTGTGTGACTAGACTTACACCCTGAACTCTCACAAAAATCACAGATATCTTTGTGTGACTAAGCTTACACCCTTAACTCTCACACAAATCACAGATATCTTTGTGTGACCAGTCTTACAACCTTAACTCTCAAACAAATCACAGATATCTTTGTGTGACTAGCCTTAGATTGTTAACTCTCACACAAATCACAGATGTCTTTGTGTGACTATACTTACACCATTAACTCTCACACAAATCACAGATATCTTTGTTTGACTAGACTGACACCCTTAACTCTCACACAAATCACAGATATTTTTGTGTGAGTAGCCTTACACCCTTAACTCTCACACAAATCACAGATGTCTTGTGTGTGAGACTTACACCCTGAACTCTCACAGAAATCACACAGATCACAGATATATGTTGTGACTTGACTTACACCCTTAACTGTCACACAAATCAGGAGTACACCCTGAACTCTCACAGAAATCACAGATATGTTTGTATGACTAGACTTACACCCTTAACTCTCACACAAATCACAGATATCTTTATTTGACTAAGCTAACACCCTTCACTCTCAAACAAATCACAGATATCTTTGTGTGACTAGCCTTAGATTGTTAACTCTCACACAAATCACAGATATCTTTGTGTGAGTAGCCTTACACCCTTAACTCTCACACAAATATCTTTGTGTGACTAGACTTACACCCTGAACTCTCACACAAATCACACAAATATCTTTGTGTGACTAGACTGACACCCTAAACTCTCACACAAATCAGATATTTTTGTGTGACTAGACTTACACCCTTAACTCACACAAATCACAGATATTTTTGTGTGACTAGACTTACACCCTTAACTCTCACACAAATCACAGATATCTGTGTGACTAGACTTACACCCTTAACTCTCACACAAATCACAGATATTTTTGTGTGACTAGGAGATCACCCTTAACTCTCACACAAGTCACAGATATCTGTGTGACTAGACTTACACCCTTAACTCTCACACAAATATCTTTGTGTGACTAGACTTACACCCTGAACTCTCACACAAATTACAGATGTTTGTGTGACTAGTCTTACACCCTTAACTCTCACACAAATCACAGATATATTTTTGTGACTAAGCTTACACCCTTAGCTCTCACACAAATCACAGATATGTTTGTGTGACTCTCACACAACTCTCACACAAATCACAGATATGTTTGTGTGACTAGCCTTACACCCTTAACTCTCACACAAATCACAGATATCTTTGTGTGACTATGAGTTCACCCTTAACTCTCACACAAATCACAGATATTTTTGTGTGACTAGACTTACACCCTTAACTCTCACACAAATCACAGATATGTTTGTGTGACTAGTCTTACACCCTGAACTCTCACACAAATCACAGATATGTTTGTGTGACTAGACTTACACCCTGAACTCTCACACAAATCACAGATATGTTTGTGTGACTAGACTTGCACTCTTAAATCTCACACAAATCACAGATATATTTGTTTGACACAGATATCATTGTGTGACTAGGAGTTCACCCTTAACTCTCACACAAATCATAGATATCTTTATGTGACTAAGCTAACACCCTCAACTCTTACACAAATCACAGATATCTTTGTGTGACTAGACTTACACCCTTAACTCTCACACAAATCACAGATATGTTTGTGTGACTAGTCTTACACCCTTAACTCTCACACAAATCACATATTTTTGTGTGACTAAGCTTACACCCTTAACTCTCACACAAATCACAGATATCTTTGTGTGACTAGACTTACACCCTTATTACACCCTTAACTCTCACACAAATCACAGATATCTTTATGTGACTAGCCTTACACCCTTAACTCTCACACAAATCACAGATATCTTTATGTGACTAGCCTTACACCCTTAACTCTCACACAAATCACAGATATATTTTTGTGACTAGCCTTACATTCTTAACTCTCACACAAATCACAGATATGTTTGTGTGACCAGACTTACACCCTGAACTCTCACACAAATCACAGATATGTTTGTGTGACTAGGAGTTCACCCTTAACTCTCACACAAATCACAGATATGTTTGTGTGACTAGGAGTTCACCCTTAACTCTCACACAAATCACAGATATGTTTGTGTGACTAGGAGTTCACCCTTAACTCTCACACAAATCACAGTTATCTGTGTGACTAGACTTACACCCTTAACTCTCACACAAATCACAGATATCTTTCTGTGACTAGACTTACACCCTTAACTCTCACACAAATCACAGCTATGTTTGTGTGACTAGTCTTACACCCTTAACTCTCACACAAATCACAGATATCTTTGTGTGACTATGAGTTCACCCTTAACTCTCACACAAATCACAGATATTTTTGTGTGAGTAGCCTTACACCCTTAACTCTCACACAAATCACAGATATGTTTTTGTGACTAGTCTTACACCCTTAACTCTCACACAAATCACAGATATCTTTGTGTGACTAGGAGTACACCCTTACTCTCACAAATCACAGATATCTTTGTGTGACTAGACTTACACCCTTAACTCTCACACAAATCACAGATATCTTTGTGTGACCAGACTTACACCCTGAACTCTCATTCAAATCACAGATATCTGTGTGACTAGCCTTACACCCTTAACTCTCACACAAATCTCAGATATCTTTGTGTGACTAGCCTTACACCCTTAACTCTCACACAAATCACAGATTCCTTGTGTAAGTAGATATATACCTTTTACTCTGGTATAAAAAAAGTTTTAAGCAATCAAAGTGAAGGATCTTTTTTCCTTTTCAAACTGCCATATTTCTGAAATCTAGAGTGTCCATGATTATAGAAAATTCTTTGTAAAGTTCACAATTTTATTTGGACATTATTACATGTATTTGATATGTTTGTATAGCTCCTTATGGTATCAGAGAAAAAACAAAGAAAGTGGGAACAGTGGAAGAGGATGTGGAATTGACAGAGGACCAGTAAGTAGACCTAATTACACTGGTACTGTCAGTATAACAGTCCCATACATAATTACGCTGGTACTGTCAGTATAACAGTCCAATACATAATTACACTGGTACTGTCAGTATAACAGTCCCATACATAATTACACTGGTACTTTCAGTATAACAGTCCCATACATAATTACACTGGTACTGTCAGTATAAATGTCCCATACATAATTACACTGGTACCGTCAGTATAACAGTCCCATACATAATTACACTGGTACTTTCAGTATAAATGTCCCATACATAATTACACTGGTACTTTCAGTATAACAGTCCAATACATAATTACACTGGTACTTTCAGTATAACAGTCCCATACATAATTACACTGGTACTGTCAGTATAACAGTCCCATACATAATTACACTGGTACTGTCAGTATAACAGTCCCATACATAATTACACTGGTACTTTCAGTATAACAGTCCCATACATAATTACACTGGTACTGTCAGTATAAATGTCCCATACATAATTACACTGGTACTTTCAGTATAACAGTCCAATACATAATTACACTGGTACTGTCAGTATAAATGTCCCATACATAATTACACTGGTACTGTCAGTATAACAGTCCCATACATAATTACACTGGTACTGTCAGTATAACAGTCCCATACATAATTACACTGGTACTGTCAGTATAACAGTCCCATACATAATTACACTGGTACTTTCAGTATAACAGTCCCATACATAATTACACTGGTACTGTCAGTATAACAGTCCCATACATAATTACACTGGTACTGTCAGTATAACAGTCCCATACATAATTACACTGGTACTGTCAGTATAACAGTCCCATACATAATTACACTGGTACTGTCAGTATAACAGTCCCATACATAATTACACTGGTACTGTCAGTATAACAGTCGCAGCAAAAATTTCAAAAACATTTTTGTTTGTTTGGGATATTAGATGAAACATTCAAATTTTTCATCTACAGAAATATTCAAGAGCACTAGTATGTGATTAATTGATTGTTGTGAAGATTACCTCAAAGTGAAACACATAGAACATGTATAGTGTAGCCACTTGACCTGATTGTGATCCCTTGTGAGGAATGAAGTACCAGGTGTTCTATGATCAGTAGAATGTCTCTGGGGTAGCAGGAAACAGTTAATTTGCATTTTTCCTGAAATTATTTGTCATGTTTGAGATATACAGGTATAGCAGAGTGGTTATGAAAAATACAGCATTACAAGTATATATATTTATAAACTATATAACGATTACATTAACAGTAGAGAAAATAAAAATTGTGTAAATTTGAAATTGCCTTCTGGTTTCTGACTTGATTGCCATGGCTAACAAGTCAAAAAAAAAACTAAAAATGCAAAAGTACTGTTAATTCCAACCCAACACTACAACTTTCCAATAAGAAATTTATTTCTGAACACTGGTCTTAAAATGAACAACACTGTCATAGTAACAAACTACTTATATTTCAGTAAATCCTAACTTGGAATGCCTGCACAACATGACCACATGTAATCACTATGGAAATTTCAATTCCTGTAAAGCTAGTTTTTGGTGTGTAGACACAGATTCAATACTCCCCAAGTAGTAATCTCCAACACCCTGCAAAAATACTATTATTAAAAATATGAAACCCCACATTGTCCACTTTAACATGACAAGACCAATTTCAACTGGGATTTGTTCTTTTAAAATCAGTTAAAACCTTAGATTGATAATGAGGTTATCTAATTAAGAAAAATTTCATCCATAGCCACACTGTATCTAGTCTCATAATTGCCATAGCTCTAACTCAGATTGGTTTAGATTTACTTGATGAATGTTATCAGTAAAACACCCTTTGAAATAATCTGTCTTCCTGAATGTTTACTAAAAGTGGCCATATAAACATCACCTTTGTTCTTATTTGTTTTAATTGAGTTTTAGCTAAAACTAGTACTGTTATCAGACATATTTCAGCCGTGATATTATTTTTTATTTTTTGGTAACTTTATTTAAGTTGTAATTTCACTTAGTGGTAATATTATTTAGATGTAATCTTATTAAGCAGTAATGTTTTTTGTTAATTTTAGCAGTAATATAATATCTAATTTTAGCAGTAATGTTATTTAATTTTAGCAGTAATGATATTTAATTTAAGCAGTAGTAATATCTAATTTCAGCAGTAATATTATCTAATTTTAGCAGTATTGTTATTTAATTTTAGCAGTAATATAATATCTATTTTTAGCAGTAATATAATATCTAATTTTAGCAGTATTGTTATTTAATTTTAGCAGTAATATAATATCTATTTTTAGCAGTAATATAATATCTAATTTTAGCAGTATTGTTATTCAATTTTAGCAGTAATATAATATCTAATTTTAGCAGTATTGTTATTTAATTTTAGCAGTAATATAATATCTATTTTTAGCAGTAATATAATGTCTAATTTTAGCAGTAATATAATATCTATTTTTAGCAGTAATACAATATCTATTTTTAGCAGTAATATTACCTAATTTTAGCAGTATTGTTATTTTATTTTTATTTAATTTTAGCAGTAATGTTATCTTATTTTAGCAGTATTAATATTTAATTTTAGCAGTAATGTTATCTAATTTTAGTGATATTATCTAATTTTAGCTGTATCGTTATTTTATTATTAAATTTTCGCAGTATTGTTATCTATTTTTAGCAGAATTGTTATTAAATTTTAGCAGTAATGTTATTTAATTTTAGCAGTAATGATATTTGATTTAAGCAGTAGTAATATCTAATTTCAGCAGTAATATTATCTAATTTTAGCAGATATTATCTAATTTTAGCAGTATTGTTATTTAATTTTAGCAGTAATATAATATCTATTTTTAGCAGTAATATAATATCTAATTTTAGCAGTATTGTTATTTAATTTTAGCAGTAATATAATATCTAATTTTAGCAGTAATATTACCTCATTTTAGCAGTAATATTACCTAATTTTAGCAGTAATATTACCTAATTTTAGCAGTAATGTTATCTGATTTTAGCAGTAATATAATATCTGTTTTTAGCAGTAATATAATATCTAATTTTAGCAGTAATATCCTTTAATTTTAGCTGTAATATTATTTCATTTTAGCAGTAATGTTATTTAATGGTTATCTTTTCAGCCATTTTCATGTGGAGATGATTACACTAAAATTTTAAATGTGCTAATATTGTAACTGTGCTAAAATTGTACTTTCTGTGTGTTTTCTATATAGCAATTATCATTGAAGAGTAAAAGTTCATTATTACATTGATTTGCTGAAAAGAGTGCTAGAACATTATTACATTTACAGTGATGTTATTCTTTCATGATTTTTGTTTTGTTTTAAAGAAAAATAGGACATGTTCCACAAAAGATAGATTATCATCTTGGACAAATCTTTAAAGATCTGCTCAACTTTGCGGCGAAGTTTCTACACTTGGGTGGGCGTCTGGTGTACTGGTTTCCTATTGACAGACGTGGGTGAGTATTGTTAAGCCTTTTTTTGTCATCCTCTCTGTTGTGTATGTTGGGAGTTTGGTTTATTACCTCATTTATTGAAAATGAATCCATATGTAGGTATGATGTAGGTATGGTGTAGGTATGATGTAGGTATGGTGTAGGTATGATGTAGGTATGGTGTAGGTATGATGAAGGTATGGTGTAGGTATGATGTAGGTATGGTGTAGGTATGATATAGGTATGGTGTAGGTATGATGTAGGTATGGTGTAGGTATGATGAAGGTATGGTGTAGGTATGATGTAGGTATGGTGTAGGTATGATGAAGGTATGGTGTAGGTATGATGTAGGTATGGTGTAGGTATGGTGTAGGTATGATGAAGGTATGGTGTAGGTATGGTGTAGGTATGATGTAGGTATGATGTAAGTATGGTGATAGTATGATGTAGGTATGGTGATAGTATGGTGTAGGTATGGTATAGGTATGGTGAGAGTATGGTGTAAGTATGATGTAGGTATGGTATGATGTAGGTATGGTGATAGTATGGTGTAGGTATGGTGTAGGTATGATGTAGGTATGATGAAGGTATGGTGTAGGTATGATGTAGGTATGGTGTAGGTATGATGAAGGTATGGTGTAGGTATGGTGTAGGTATGATGTAGGTGTAGGTATGGTTTAGGTATGGTGATAGTATGGTGTAGGTATGATGTAGGTATGGTATGATGTAGGTATGGTGATAGTATGGTGTAAGTATGGTGATAGTATGGTGTAGGTATGATATAGGTATGATGTAGGTATGGTGTAGGTGTAGGTATGGTGTAGGTATGGTGATAGTATGGTGTAGGTATGATGTAGGTATGGTGTAGGAATGGTGATAGTATGGTGTAGGTATGGTGATAGTATGGTGTAGGTATGATGTAGGTATGGTATGATGTAGGTATGGTGATAGTATGGTGTAGGTATGGTGAGAGTATGGTGTAGGTATGATATAGGTATGATGTAGGTATGATGTAGGTATGGTGTAGGTATGGTGTAGGTATGGTGATAGTATGGTGTAGGTATGATGTAGGTATGATGTAGGTATGGTGATAGTATGGTGTAGGTATGGTGTAGGTATGATGTAAGTATGGTGTAGGTATGATGTAAGTATGGTGTAGGTATGGTGTAGGTATGATATAGGTATGGTGAGAGTATGGTGTAGGTATGATGTAGGTATTATGTAGTTATGGTGTAGGTATGATATAGGTATGGTGTAGGTATGATGTAGGTATGATGTAGGTATGGTGTAGGAATGGTGATAGTATGGTGTAGGTATGGTGATAGTATGGTGTAGGTATGATGTAGGTATGGTGATAGTATGGTGTAGGTATGATATAGGTATGATGTAGGTATGGTGTAGGTGTAGGTATGGTGTAGGTATGGTGATAGTATGGTGTAGGTATGATGTAGGTATGGTGTAGGTATGATGTAGGTATGATGTAGGTATGGTGAGAGTATGGTGTAGGTATGATGTAAGTATGGTGTAGGTATGGTGTAGGTATGATATAGGTATGGTGAGAGTATGGTGTAGGTATGATGTAGGTATTATGTAGTTATGGTGTAGGTATGATATAGGTATGGTGTAGGTATGATGTAGGTATGGTGTAGGTATGATGAAGGTATGGTGTAGGTATGATGTAGGTATGGTGTAGGTATGATGAAGGTATGGTGTAGGTATGGTGTAGGTACGATGAAGGTATGGTGAAGGTATAGTGTATCACTTAGCCTGTGGTTAGGAGTTCAAGGCATACCTTACATTAGGTTTCTCCTACATGATTTAACATTTATATATGTTCACATATGTATATTTGTGCCTGTACAGTAATAAATGCCTGCTTAGCAATAAGCCAATACCCTGGTAATAAGCCAAGGTCCTGACAATAAGCCAATACTCTGGTAATAAGCCAAGGTCCTGGCAATAAGCCAATACTCTGGTAATAAGCCAAGGTCCTGGCAATAAGCCAATACCCTGGTAATATCCAAGGTCCTGGCAATTATGATATAAAATATTGTTTTGTAGTTACAAGGAAGAAAACATCCCAACTCATCCCTGTCTTCATTGTGTAGCAAACTGTGAGCAAGTACTCAACTGCCGGATTGCCAGACGTCTCATCACTATGGAGAAAGTACATCAATTTGAGGTATAAAATTAATGTATTTAAATCCTTCTCTGACTGTGTGTACATTTCTGGTGTAAACCACTTGTACAGCATATACTTCCTACGAAGTAAAAAGATTGTTTTTTAATCACCTGAGGCTAAAGACACCTATGATAATAGCTTTCTGTCTGTCCTATCTTGTTGAATACATTTGAATATTAATTCCAACTTCATGTTTTTTTTCATAATAAAATGAAATTTTAAGTGACCTATCTAGAATGAGGATAGTCACCTGTCATATGTGACATTGTTTCAGTAAACATCTTTCAATCTGATATTCTTAGAATAACATTAGTTGATAGATTACATGAAGTCTTTATTTCCAGGAAATACACCAATCTGACAGTGCCCATGTAGAAGTTGATCATTATGAGGAAGTTTCATTCCGTCAGATGTATTTTCACACTAGAAAATCCAAGGGACATAACTCTAATGAACAAATGAAAATTGGAAATCTTGGTAAACAAGAAAATAATCTCCCAGACAAAATGGCAGCCTCTTCTCTAGCAGAAAATGGATGATATATAAATTATACGCGACAACTTTCTCTAAAATAAAGCATCTGCTGTTCTGGCCAGGAGAAGGAAACAGTTCAATTGGAACAATTAGTTTTCTGACTTGCGAGAAGTGTGCAATTTGAATGAAAAGCCAGAAGATTTCTTTCCATTCCTGTATATATGTGCAGGTGTGGACCACTTTGAATGGATTTCCACTTTAGCAGCTCACCTGGCCCAAACAGCCAGTCATTAGGCATACCACAGTATCAGTTACGCATTTGTCATGTCAACTTTTTATATATCATTACATGTCACAATCGACTGATTGGATGTGAATCAAATTTTGGTCTGGAGCATCCTTAGGGGAAGTGGAAACAATTTTGTATAAATGATGGGATAGGGCCCAATGGGGAAAATTTATTGATTTCATGCCAATTTTTTTTTTAATGAAAGTGTTGTTCCTGTCTTGTCAGGGACTTGATGTGATTTGTTTTCTTTCATCAATACACATACTGTAACTGTGACTGATATTTTTAATCCAATAAAAGAAGAAAACAGAAGTAATGAGTCTTACTTTACCATCAAAATTCTTCAGTACAAGATTACACCAATTATAAGCACAGTGTGACTTTTTGTTGTGAGATCGATATCCTGGCAGTTACCTTGAATGTTTTACGATGAATTATGGACTACCATATTTGCTTGTAGAAGTTTTGTCTTCTTAGCAACATCCATTCAGGAGTAGTGATCACAAATTAGATACATGGATGAATGGACAAAGCATGATAGGTTACTATATAAGTACTTTGTCACTGAGATTTAAGATAACAAGTGGCCCATGGGCCTTAACGGTCATCTGACAAAAAGCAAGCCAAACTCTAACAACAGTGAGTCTGCCATTAAAACAGTGGGCTTTATTAATTTGAATAAACTTGGCAGCCCTTCCTCCCAGCATCCTACAGGCCCAATATCAGCACTCTGTGATTTTTGGTTATTGAGAAGTCATTTGCATATTTTAACATATTTAACCTCTGTGACCTTGAAAGTGGGTCAAGGTCATTCATTTGAACAAATTTGGTAGCATGTCATCCCAGCATCCTACAGGTCCATTATCAGCACTCTTGGACTTTTGCTTATTAAGAAGAAGTCGTTTGTATATTTTAACATATTTGACCTCTGTGACCTTGAAAGTGGGTCAAGGTCATTAATTTGAACAAACTTTGTAGGACTCCATGCCAGCATGCTATGGGCCAAGTATTAGCCCCCTAGGTCTTCTAGTATTTGATAAGAAGTTTTTTGAACGAACGCACGGTGGACGAAGCACGATGGCTATAGGTCATCTCGACCCTTCGGGTCAGATGACCTAAAAACAAAAAAAAAAAAAAAAACTCAATTTTCTTTTTGATTATTGCATCTATTCAGTGGTTCTCCCAAAAAAATGACAAACTCCATTGCCTATATATCTCACAAGGCTATACCAATCATATTCTCTATGATACAGAGACTTGTTATATAAATATGTACACAACATGCTTACACTCCTCCAACTCAATTTTATACATGTTTTATGAAAATCTGCTGATTGTAATATAAATCTCATTAGTCGACCAATAATTTCACAAAACATCAGATTTACTTGTCGACCAATCAAATAATTTCGCAAAACATTAGATTTACTTGTCGACCAATCAAATAATTTCACAAAACATTAGATTTACTTGTCTACTGATCAAATAATTTCATGAAACATTAGATTTAGTGCCCATCACCTGATTATATGTGAAAAATTGTAACACAATTTTTCAATTTTGCTGATGTGTTTTTAAAATTTTAAAAATTCTGACCGGTAGCAAGTAATAAAATACTACAAACTAAGTGTTCTTTCCCTGATACTTTTACAATTTCAGTAATACAACAAATTTCTAATTAAAACCGAATAAGGAAGCCAATTTCTGGGCCCTAATTCCATTCAGCCATGATAGGTAAGTCTTCTATAACACATGCAAGAAACATGGGTCAGGGTTTGATTGATCAAACTTGTCCACAGACTGTAATGACCTTTGACATTGATCAATTCGGGCACTTGTCCACAGACTGTAATGACCTTTGACATTGATCAATTCAGGCATTTGTCCACAGACTGTAATGACCTTTGACATTGATCAATTCAGGCACTTGTCCACAGACTGTAATGACCTTTGACATTGATCAATTCGGGTACTTGTCCACAGACTGTAATGACCTTTGACATTGATCACTTCAGGCACTTGTCCACAGACTGTAATGACCTTTGACATTAGAGTGAATGCGGAAGAATACCTCAAAGAACAAATAAAGTGTGATGTGTTTCTGTTTCCATATCAGAGTGAAGGTCAATCACAGTTATTTAAAAGCTTGTTTGACTTTGTACACAGGCGATGCAGTCATTGAATTCAAACATGCTTGTGACCTTACTTGAAGGTTACAAGTGAGTTCAATATCCATGTTTAATTAGAAAAATCTGCGTTTATCTTTCATGTTTTGATTCACATCAATCAATTTTTATGATTTTACTTAATAAGAATGAAATTTTTGCAGGTAAATCACACATTGAAGAAAAATGGGTTTACAATATTGCTCTTTTGAATATTTTGAAGCCAAATATAAATCTGTTGTATTTTTCATGAATCACATCACAAGATATACCTATGAGTGAGCTTAAACTAAAAAATTGTCTTACTTGTTAAGTTAAATAACATGATTTCTTTTAACAACGAAATTCAGACTAGAAACAACATGATCATTAACGAATTTAACACAATCCGTCACCAAAGTATATCAATTTGTAAACATTTCATAAAAAACGCCTTAACACATGAACAGACAAGCCAGCAAGACCATTGTAAACATCATGGTTCTGAATAGTCAATCTAACTCTTCAGGTGGAATGGACAAAAGGAAAAAAATAAGGTTTTTAAAACACATCAAGGTATGATGAAACCAGGAATTCATTCAAGTATGATATCAAAACATTTATCTTTTCAAAAACTACTTTTAGTATTAAATGTTTTAAAGAAAGGAGAAAAGCTCTGCTGATTTCACATATAAACTTACTCCCATTTGCCACTTTTCCTGTACTCATCCCCTTTCCACAATTTTAGCCACTATCAACCCTTTTTCTCTGGTTGTGTAACATTTTCTCTGATCAAAAGACATGCACATGAAAAAAATAAATAAATAAAGCTTATGGATTCTACGTGGTGGATTCTATAATTTATTTTCTGTAATAAAAAAACCCATCTCATTACACTCTGAAAATGAAAATGAATCCTTTTCTTGATAACATTCTCAAATATCCCGACAATAAAACTAGGATACTCGCTTGCAGTTATGATGTGTAAGTATTTATTCCAGAAGGTATTACAAGCTAAAGAGACAGAAAAGACTTCATTGAACTGACAGAGTCCATCAACAAGTCTTCTGGTGATTTTTTTTCACATTCCACAACTGAAGAAAACATTGGTCATGATGTTATTTTCCATAAACACAAAAGTTTATCACAGTTGTTTACTGTGTTGGAAAGTAAAATTCGTATTGAAACCGAAAATGAAAATTTCACAAACGGTTCTTCAGTATCACCACTTCTATCTTGATATTGAACTTGTATCAAGTTTCCAGAAGTCTCAACTCCAAATAAAAAAAAACTACCCTTAAAAAGCATGTTGGTGCATAAAGTTTAGTAGATATAGGTACACTTGGAAACAAAGGCCTTTCTGTGCATTGAGTAAATATCAACCAGAAATTTTGACATAATAACTGATACCCTATGGAACACTCTCCTGTACCAATGATGTGTTTCTAATCGGAACCATTTTACCCAGAGTCAAATTACGAATTCCAACATTAACATCAACTAAATCCCTCACAGCATTAAATACTGTACTGAATCCTTGGTAATAATATGAAATTTTCATGGTTCAACTCCCATAAAGTTCTGGAATACATTTGCATTCTAAAAATCTGAAATCTTGATCAATTTGAAGCTTTTTCTGTGGTAGATTCTAGAAGTCTGTCAATAGTTTCTAAGATCTTGGTTTGTTTGGTCGCTTCTTCAGACTGCACTGTCTGAAACAACATCAAATGAAATAAATTTGAAATGAAACGTCTGCTTAAGGAATTCAGGAAAGAAAACATACAAAGACAACAAATCTGAAGGAACTTTTCACGTACTTTTAGCCCCATAATGACTTTATACCCAATATATTGATTTTCATTTAATATGGAATTCTTATGGAAAAGAGGTGTATACCTAAAACATTGTGTAATGTTCATTTTTAAAACAACTTTTGCTACATTCTAACAGCGTTCTTCATTCTTTCTTCATTTATTACATTAATAATTCTACATATTTATTACTGGACAATATTCTAGTATGAGGTTGAAGATTATTTAATAATTGTTATGAATTACTGTGTATGAATTAGTTTACAATATAAATTACTCACCACATACTTCTCCTTAAGTTGCTGCGCTGCCCATGCAGCATACTTTACATTGGCTTGTTTCTCCTTGCTTTTACTTGTGGAGGCTAGACTACATGACGACTGAAAAACACAACATCTTATCGTACATAACCAGACATAGGCACGGTGGAGGCTAGACTACATGATGACTGAAAAACACAACATCTTATCGTACATAACCAGATATAGGCACGGTGGAGGCTAGACTACATGATGACTGAAAAACACAACATCTTATCGTACATAACCAGACATAGGCACGGTGGAGGCTAGACTACATGACGACTGAAAAACACAACATCTTATCGTACATAACCAGACATAGGCACGGTGGAGGCTAGACTACATGATGACTGAAAAACACAACATCTTATCGTACATAACCAGATATAGGCACGGTGGAGGCTAGACTACATGACGACTGAAAAACACAACATCTTATCGTACATAACCAGACATAGGCACGGTGGAGGCTAGACTACATGACGACAGAAAAACACAACATCTTATCGTACATAACCAGACATAGGCACGGTGGAGGCTAGACTACATGACGACAGAAAAACACAACATCTTATCGTACATAACCAGACATAGGCACGGTGGAGGCTAGACTACATGAAGACTGAAAAACACAACATCTTATCGTACATAACCAGACATAGGCACGGTGGAGGCTAGACTACATGACGACAGAAAAACACAACATCTTATCGTACATAACCAGACATAGGCACGGTGGAGGCTAGACTACATGACGACTGAAAAACACAACATCTTATCGTACATAACCAGACATAGGCACGGTGGATTCTAGACTACATGACGACTGAAAAACACAACATCTTATCGTACATAACCAGACATAGGCACGGTGGATTCTAGACTACATGACGACAAAAAAATACAACATCTTATCGTACATAACCAGACATAGGCACGGTGGAGGCTAGACTACATGACGACAGAAAAACACAACATCTTATCGTACATAACCAGACATAGGCACGGTGGAGGCTAGACTACATGCAGGACTGAAAAACACAACATCTTATCGTACATAACCAGACATAGGCACGGTGGAGGATAGACTACATGACGACTGAAAAACACATCTTATCGTACATAACCAGACATAGGCACGGTGGATTCTAGACTACATGACGACAAAAAAACACAACATCTTATCGTACATAACCAGACATAGGCACGGTGGAGGCTAGACTACATGACGACTGAAAAACACATCTTATCGTACATAACCAGACATAGGCACGGTGGATTCTAGACTACATGACGACTGAAAAACACAACATCTTATCGTACATAACCAGACATAGGCACGGTGGATTCTAGACTACATGACGACAAAAAAACACAACATCTTATCGTACATAACCAGACATAGGCACGGTGGAGGCTAGACTACATGACGACAGAAAAACACAACATCTTATCGTACATAACCAGACATAGGCACAGTGGAGGCTAGACTACATCATGACTAAAGAACAACATCTTATCGTACATAACCAGATATGGGCACGGTGGAGGCTAGACTACAGCATGACTAAAGAACAACATCTTATCGTACATAACCAGACATAGGCACGGTGGAGGTTAGACTACATGACGACTGAAAAACACATCTTATCGTACATAACCAGACATAGGCACGGTGGAGGCTAGACTACATGATGACAGAAAAACACAACATCTTATTGCACATAACCAGACATAGGCACGGTGGAGGCTAGACTACATCATGACTAAAGAACAACATCTTATCGTACATAACCAGACATAGGCACGGTGGAGGCTAGACTACATGAGGACTAAAGAACACATCTTATTGTACATAACCAGACATCAGGCACGGTGGAGGTTAGACTACATGTTAATGTTGACAGAAACACAAATCGTAAAGACATTGTGTAGGCATGACAGATACTCACATACGCAGGTAATGATTGTGTATGTACATAACCAGACATAGGCACTGGTGGAGGCTAGAAAGCATAATTGTTATTTACATAAAAAAAGTGTATGTACATAACTCACTTACCTGGTGGTAAAGATGAGGATAACATCCATATAGAGAACGAATATCTGATGGTAAAGATTAGGGTTGAGTTTGATTTCTGGTAAAGCCTGTATTGACATAATCAATTCTGTATCTAGGTGCCTGTGGTAAAGATCAAAGTTTCCCTGTGTATAGAAACAGATCTGCAAATATTGTTAGGGTTGAGTTTGAGTGCCTGAGCAAAATATGATCTAGCCTGTTCAAAGTTTCCCTGTGTATAGCAGATCTGCAAATAACAAAAAACACATTATCTAAATGGTATGTGGTCAATGTATCAATATCCAAGATAAAAACAACCTGTAGATAAAGCAGCCTTTGTATTTCTGGTGGTAAAGATGATTGTGTATTTGACTGAACCTCACTTCTGCGTATTTCTGGTGGAAAGATGATTGTGTATTTGACTGAACCTCACTTCTGCGTATTTCTGGTGGTAAAGATGATTGTGTGGGTTTGACAGATACTTACTTCTGCGTATTTCTTGTGGTAAAGATGATTGTGTATGTATGACAGATACTCACTTCTGCGTATTTCTGGTGTTAAAGATGATTGTGTATGTATGACAGATACTCACTTCTGCGTATTTCTGGTGGTAAAGATGATTGTGTATTTGACTGATCCTCACCTCTGCGTATTTCTGGTGGTAAAGATGATTGTGTATGTATGACAGAAACTCACTTCTGCGTATTTCTGATGGTAAAGATGATTGTGTATTTGACTGAACCTCACTTCTGTGTATTTCTGATGGTAAAGATGATTGTGTATTTGACTGAACCTCACTTCTGCGTATTTCTGGTGGTAAAGATGATTTTGTATGTATGACAGATAATCACTTCTGCGTATTTTTAGTGGTAAAGATGATTGTGTATGCATGACAGATACTCACTTCTGCGTATTTCTGGTGGTAAAGATGATTGTGTATGTATGACAGATACTCACTTCTGCGTATTTCTGGTGGTAAAGATGATTGTGTATGTATGACAGATCCTCACCTCTGCGTATTTCTGGTGGTAAAGATGATTGTGTATGTATGACAGAAACTCACTTCTGCGTATTTCTGGTGGTAAAGATGATTGTGTATGTATGACAGATACTCACTTCTGTGTATTTCTGGTGGTAAAGATGATTGTGTATTTGACTGAACCTCACTTCTGCATATTTCTGGTGGTAAAGATGATTGTGTATGTATGACAGATACTCACTTCTGCGTATTTCTGATGGTAAAGATGATTGTGTATTTGACTGAACCTCACTTCTGCGTATTTCTGGTGGTAAAGATGATTTTGTATGTATGACAGATACACACTTCTGCGTATTTCTGGTGGTAAAGATGATTGTGTATGTATGACAGATACTCATTTCTGTGTATTTCTGGTGGTAAAGATGATTGTGTATGTATGACAGATACTCATTTCTGTGTATTTCTGGTGGTAAAGATGATTGTGTATTTGACTGAACCTCACTTCTGCGTATTTCTGGTGGTAAAGATGATTGTGTATGTATGACAGATACACACTTCTGTGTATTTCTGGTGGTAAAGATGATTGTGTATGTATGACAGATACTCACTTCTGCGTATTTCTGGTGTTAAAGATGATTGTGTATGTATGACAGATACTCACTTCTGCGTATTTCTGGTGTTAAAGATGATTGTGTATGTATGACAGATACTCACTTCTGCGTATTTCTGGTGGTAAAGATGATTGTGTATTTGACTGATCCTCACCTCTGCGTATTTCTGGTGGTAAAGATGATTGTGTATGTATGACAGATACACACTTCTGCGTATTTCTGGTGGTAAAGATGATTGTGTATGTATGACAGATACTCACTTCTGTGTATTTCTGGTGGTAAAGATGATTGTGTATGTATGACAGAACCTCACTTCTGCGTATTTCTGGTGGTAAAGATGATTGTGTATGTATGACAGATACTCACTTCTGCGTATTTCTGATGGTAAAGATGATTGTGTATTTGACTGAACCTCACTTCTGCGTATTTCTGGTGGTAAAGATGATTTTGTATGTATGACAGATACACACTTCTGCGTATTTCTGGTGGTAAAGATGATTGTGTATGTATGACAGATACTCATTTCTGTGTATTTCTGGTGGTAAAGATGATTGTGTATTTGACTGAACCTCACTTCTGCGTATTTCTGGTGGTAAAGATGATTGTGTATGTATGACAGATACTCACTTCTGCGTATTTTTAGTGGTAAAGATGATGGTGTATGTATGACAGATACTCACTTCTGCATATTTCTGGTGATAAAGATGATTGTGTATTTGACTGAACCACACTTCTGCATATTTCTGGTGGTAAAGATGATTGTGTATGTATGACAGATACTTACTTCTGCGTATTTCTGATGGTAAAGATGATTGTGTATTTGACTGAACCTCACTTCTGCGTATTTCTGGTGGTAAAGATGATTGTGTGGGTTTGACAGATACTTACTTCTGCGTATTACTGGTGGTAAAGATGATTGTGTATGTATGACAGATACTCACTTCTGCATATTTCTGGTGGTAAAGATAATTGTGTATTTAATTGAACCTCACTTCTGCGTATTTCTGGTGGTAAAGATGATTGTGTATGTATGACAGGTACTCACTTCTGCGTATTTCTGGTGGTAAAGATGATTGTGTATGCATGACAGATACTCACTTCTGCGTATTTCTGGTGGTAAAGATGATTGTGTATGTATGACAGATACTCACTTCTGCGTATTTCTGTTGGTAAAGATGATTTTGTATGTATGACAGATACTCACTTCTGCATATATCTGGTGGTAAAGATGGTTGTGTATGTATGACAGATACTCACTTCTGTGTATTTCTGGTGGTAAAGATGATTGTGTATTTGACTGAAACTCACTTCTGCGTATTTCTAGTGGTAAAGATGATTGTGTATGTATGACAGATACTCACTTCTGCATATTTTTAGTGGTAAAGATGATTGTGTATGTATGAGAGATACTCACTTCTGCGTATTTCTGGTGGTAAAGATAATTGTGTATTTAATTGAACCTCACTTCTGCGTATTTCTGGTGGTAAAGATGATTGTGTATGTATGACAGGTACTCACTTCTGCATATTTCTGGTGGTAAAGATATTTGTGTATGTATGACAGATACTCACTTCTGCGTATTTCTGTTGGACAAGAAGATTTTCTATGGATGACAGATACTCACTTCTGCATATATCTGGTGGTAAAGATGATTGTGTATGGTAAAGATTCTGAAACTCACTTCTGCGTATTTCTAGTGGTAAAGATGATTGTGTATGTATGACAGATACTCACTTCTGTGTATTTTTGGTGGTAAAGATGATTGTGTATGTATGACAGATACTCACTTCTGCATATTTCTGGTGGTAAAGATGATTGTGTATTTGACTGAACCTCACTTCTGCGTATTTCTGGTGGTAAAGATGCTTGTGTATGTATGACAGATACTCATTACTGGGTATTTCTGATGGTAAAGATGATTGTGTATGTATGACAGATACTCACTTCTGCATATTTCTGGTGGTAAAGATGATTGTGTATGTATGACAGATACTCACTTCTGCGTATTTCTGGTGGTAAAGATGATTGTGTATGTATGAAGATACTCACTTCTGCGTATTTCTGGTTGTAAAGATTTTTGTGTATGTATGACAGATACTCACTTCTGCGTATTTCTGGTGGTAAAGATGATTGTGTATGTATGACAGATACTCACTTCTGCGTATTTCTGGTGGTAAAGATGATTGTGTATGTATGACAGATACTCACTTCTGCGTATTTCTGGTGGTAAAGATGATTGTGTATGTATGACAGATACTCACTTCTGCGTATTTCTGGTGGTAAAGATATTGTGTATTTGAGATAAAGATGATTGTGTATGTATGATTGAACCTCACTTCTGCGTATTTCTGGTGGTAAAGATGATTGTGTATGTATGACAGATACTCACTTCTGCGTATTTCTGGTGGTAAAGATAATTGTACTCACTTCTGCGTATTTCTGGTGGTAAAGATGATTGTGTATGTATGACAGGTACTCACTTCTGCATATTTCTGGTGGTAAAGATATTTGTGTATGTATGACAGATACTCACTTCTGCGTATTTCTGTTGGTAAAGATGATTTTGTATGTATGACAGATACTCACTTCTGCATATATCTGGTGGTAAAGATGATTGTGTATGTATGACAGATACTCACTTCTGTGTATTTTTGGTGGTAAAGATGATTGTGTATGTATGACAGATACTCACTTCTGCATATTTCTGGTGGTAAAGATGATTGTGTATTTGACTGAACCTCACCTCTGCGTATTTCTGGTGGTAAAGATGATTGTGTATGTATGACAGATACTCACTTCTGTGTATTTCTGGTGGTAAAGATGATTGTGTATGTATGACAGAACCTCACTTCTGCGTATTTCTGGTGGTAAAGATGAGATGATACTCATTGTGTATTTCTGGTGGTAAAGATGATTGTGTATGTATGACAGAACCTCACTTCTGCGTATTTCTGGTGTTAAAGATGATTGTGTATGTATGACAGATACTCACTTCTGCATATTTTTAGTGGTAAAGATGATTGTGTATGTATGACAGATACTCACTTCTGCGTATTTCTGGTGGTAAAGATATTTGTGTATGTATGACAGATACTCACTTCTGCGTATTTCTGGTGGTAAAGATGATTGTGTATGTATGACAGATACACACTTCTGCCTATTTCTGGTGGTAAAGATGATTGTGTATGTATGACAGATACTCACTTCTGCGTATTCTGGTGGTAAAGATAATTGTGTGGGTTTGACAGATACACACTTCTGCGTATTTCTGGTGGTAAAGATATTTGTGTATGTATGACCGATACTCACTTCTGCGTATTTCTGGTGGTAAAGATGATTGTGTATGTATGACAGATACTCACTTCTGCGTATTTCTGGTGGTAAAGATGATTGTGTATTTGACTGAACCTCACTTCTGTGTATTTCTGGTGGTAAAGATGATTGTGTGGGTTTGACAGATACTCGCTTCTGGGTATTTCTGGTGGTAAAGATGATTGTGTATTTGACTGAACCTCACTTCTGCGTATTTCTGGTGGTAAAGATGATTGTGTATTTGACTGAACCTCACTTCTGCGTATTTCTGGTGGTAAAGATGATTGTGTGGATTGGACAGATACTCACTTCTGCGTATTTCTGGTGGTAAAGATGATTGTGTATGTATGACAGTTACTCACTTCTGTGTATTTCTGGTGGTAAAGATGATTGTGTATGTATGACAGTTACTCACTTCTGTGTATTTCTGGTGGTAAAGATGATTGTGTATGTATGACAGATACTCACTTCTGCGTATTTCTGATGGTAAAGATGATTGTGTATTTGACTGAACCTCACTTCTGCGTATTTCTGGTGGTAAAGATGATGGTGTATGTATGACAGATACTCACTTCTGCGTATTTCTGATGGTAAAGATGATTGTGTATGTATGACAGATACTCGCTTCTGCGTATTTCTGGTGGTAAAGATGATTGTGTATGTACGACACATTCTCACCTCTGCGTAATTCTGGTGGTAAAGATGATTGTGTATGTATGACAGATACTCACTTCTGCGTATTTCTGGTGGTAAAGATGATTGTGTGGATTTGACATGATCAACTCCTCTATACAAAATGCTGCCTTTTGATAGTCTTGCTGCGACAGATATAAATCACACAGCTCCGTCCATGCCTCGAAATCTGTCATAAATCTTTAGGGAAAATGATAAACGTATTTTCAACCTGAGCCACTTTAATTTAAACAATTTTTTTTAATCATGTTTGTTTCTCTCAAGGGTTTTACACAAAAGTCTGAAGTAAAAGGATGTGTTTATCAAATTTCATCTTTAACCTTAGTTAAAATTTCAACCCCTTGAAAGTAAGACCCTTACAGAATTACCTCTTGATAGTCATGTAAATAGTTCACTGTACTATAGAGTTTAACTTCATATTTACTTAATACTTATAAATAATCCAATAAAAATTATCAATTTTAAAGCAAGACAAAAACATAATTGTCTATGATCATCGGTTAATTAGTAGTGTCTGGGATTTCAGTCTAGGAAGTTTACTTACTGCTGAACGCAGTCTGGGATTTCAGTCGAGGAAGTTTACTTACTGCTGAACACAGTCTGGGATTTCAGTCTAGGGAGTTTACTTACTGCTGAACGCAGTCTGGGATTTCAGTCAAGGAAGTTTACTTACTGCTGAATGCAGTCTGGGATTTCAGTCAAGGAAGTTTACTTACTGCTGAATGCAGTCTGGGATTTCAGTCAAAGTTCACTTACTGCTGAACGCAGTCTGGGATTTCAGTCAAGGAAGTTTACTTACTGCTGAACGCAGACTGGGATTTCAGTCTGGGAAATTTACTTACTCCTGAAGTCTGGGATTTCAGTCTAGGAAGTTTACTTACTGCTGTAGGTAGTCTGGGATTTCAGTCTATTATGTTTACTTACTGCTGTAGGTAGTCTGGGATTTCAGTCAAGGAAGTTTACTTACTGCTGTAGGTAGTCTACTTACTGCTGTAGGGTAATTTCAGTCTAGGAAGTTATTTACTGCTCAGTCAAGGAAGTTTACTTACTGCTGAACGCAGACTGGGATTTCAGTCTAGGAAATTTATTTACTCCTGAAGTCTGGGATTTCAGTCTAGGAAGTTTACTTACTGCTGTAGGTAGTCTGGGAATTTCAGTCTAGGAAGTTACTTACTGCTGAACGCAGTCTGGGATTTCAGTCTAGGAAGTTTACTTACTGCTGTAGGTAGTCTGGGATTTCAGTCTAGGAAGTTTACTTACTGCTGTAGGTAGTCTGGGATTTCAGTCAAGGAAGTTTACTTACTGCTGAACGCAGACTGGGATTTCAGTCTAGGAAATTTATTTACTCCTGAAGTCTGGGATTTCAGTCTAGGAAGTTTACTTACTGCTGTAGGTAGTCTGGGATTTCAGTCAAGGAAGTTTACTTACTGCTGTAGGTAGTCTGGGATTTCAGTCAAGGAAGTTTACTTACTGCTGTAGGTAGTCTGGGAATTTCAGTCTAGGAAGTTATTTACTGCTGAATGCAGTCTGGGATTTCGGTCTATTAAGTTTACTTACTGCTGTAGGTAGTCTGGGAATTTCAGTCTAGGAAGTTACTTACTGCTGAACGCAGTCTGGGATTTCAGTCTATGAAGTTTACTTACTGCTGTAGGTAGTCTGGGATTTCAGTCTAGGAAGTTTACTTACTGCTGAACGCAGACTGGGATTTCAGTCTAGGAAATTTACTTACTGCTGTAGGTAGTCTGGGAATTTCAGTCTAGGAAGTTATTTACTGCTGAACGCAGTCTGGGATTTCGGTCTATTAAGTTTACTTACTGCTGTAGGTAGTCTGGGAATTTCAGTCTAGGAAGTTTACTTACTGCTGTAGGTAGTCTGGGAATTTCAGTCTAGGAAGTTACTTCCTGCTGAACGCAGTCTGGAATTTCAGTCTAGGAAGTTTACTTACTGCTGTAGGTAGTCTGGGATTTCAGTCGAGGAAGTTTACTTACTGCTGAACGCAGACTGGGATTTCGGTCTAGGAAATTTATTTACTCCTGAAGTCTGGGATTTCAGTCTAGGAAGTTTACTTACTGCTGTAGGTAGTCTGGGATTTCAGTCAAGGAAGTTTACTTACTGCCGTAGGTAGTCTGGGATTTCAGTCTAGGAAGTTTACTTACTGCTGTAGGTAGTCTGGGATTTCAGTCTAGGAAGTTATTTACTGCTGAACGCAGTCTGGGATTTCGGTCTATTAAGTTTACTTACTGCTGTAGGTAGTCTGGGATTTCAGTCAAGGAAGTTTACTTACTGCTGAACGCAGACTGGGATTTCAGTCTAGGAAATTTATTTACTCCTGAAGTCTGGGAATTTCAGTCAAGGAAGTTTACTTACTGCTGAACGCAGTCTGGGATTTCGGTCTATTAAGTTTACTTACTGCTGTAGGTAGTCTGGGAATTTCAGTCTAGGAAGTTTACTTACTGCTGTAGGTAGTCTGGGATTTCAGTCTAGGAAGTTATTTACTGCTGAACGCAGTCTGGGATTTCGGTCTATTAAGTTTACTTACTGCTGTAGGTAGTCTGGGAATTTCAGTCGAGGAAGTTTACTTACTGCTGAACACAGTCTGGGATTTCAGTCTATGAAGTTTACTTACTGCTGAAGGTAGTCTGGGATTTCAGTCAAGGAAGTTTACTTACTGCTGTAGTCTGGGATTTCAGTCAAGGAAGTTTACTTACTGCTGTAGTCTGGGATTTCAGTCTAGGAAGTTACTTACTGTTGAAGGTAGTCTGATATTTCAGTTTGAAAGTTACTTACTCTCGCAGGTAACTGTTCAGCTTATCAATAGCTTCTGGGATTTTATTTTGAGCTTTCAGAACTGAAACTTGTCTCTTTTTTGCAAACTGTGAAAGAAAAAACCAGCGTTGAAACATATAATCCCAAAAATCTTTAAACAATCCTTTATCACCTCAAAAACAGACAGGGTAATTTTGATTTTTATCAGTAGCTAGTTGTTAGCTTAATATTAAGTGAAATTCAGGAGTGCTAACCCATGCTATCCTGAACAATGTAGGTAAAGTGGCCAAAGTCTTAACCACAACACCTTAGTCTATGATCATGAGAAACACAAACCACTTTGATAGATTATTGACATCACACATCTCAAATCTTAATCTGAGTTTACAAATTAACAAATCTATATAACCTCTTGTTTGTAAATTTAGTTGCAAATAAGCAAGTGATAATGTAATAACTGACTTACAATATTCACATCACATCCGAAAAAAATAAAAACTTAAAAACAAAAAGTATCCATTCATTAACAGTGGTTGCTTCATCAATAACCCTACACCTACAACATACATACCATATTGATTTCATCTCTGTCAATGACCCTACACATACTACATACATACCATATTGATTTCATCTCTGTCAATGACCCTACACATACAACATACATACCATATTGATTTCATCTCTGTCAATGACCCTACACATACAACATACATACCATATTGATTTCATCTCTGTCAATAACCCTACACATACAACATACATACCATATTGATTTCATCTCTGTCAATGACCCTACACATACAACATACATACCATATTGATTTCATCTCTGTCAATAACCCTACACCTACAACATACATACCATATTGATTTCGTCTCTGTCAATGACCCTACACATACAACATACATACCATATTGATTTCATCTCTTTCAATAACCCTACACCTACAACATACATACCATATTGATTTCATCTCTGTCAATGACCCTACACATACAACATACATACCATATTGATTTCATCTCTGTCAATGACCCTACGACTACAACATACATACCATATTGATTTCATCTCTTTCAATAACCCTACACCTACAACATACATACCATATTGATTTCATCTCTGTCAATGACCCTACACATACAACATACATACCATATTGATTTCATCTCTGTCAATGACCCTACACATACTACATACATACCATATTGATTTCATCTCTGTCAATAACCCTACACCTACAACATACATACCATATTGATTTCATCTCTGTCAATGACCCTACACATACAACATACATACCATATTGATTTCATCTCTGTCAATGACCCTACGACTACAACATACATACCATATTGATTTCATCTCTTTCAATAACCCTACACCTACAACATACATACCATATTGGTTTCATCTCTGTCAATTATACTCTTGTAAACTTCCTCTGCTATGTTGAACCTGAAAAATAGTTTTCATAAGAAATCCTTTTTAAATACATTCATATCAATACATTTTCCTATGGTTGGTATAAAGTACAGTGAAACCTTGCTATTAAGACCACTTTGTGGGACTGGACCAAAGTGGTCTTAATAGTGAGGTGGATCAGATTGACCGCAAAGAACCGTAACTCTGTTTGAAATAAAGACTATATATATATATATCATTAAGTAATGTACATGTATATTATTCAACAATAATAACTAAACTGTATATAAAATATCTAATCTTATGAAAGCCATGTAAAAAGACGAAATTTCTGAATTGACAGAAGAATAATTATGTATATATTCCTTAGTTTCTATCATAGTATACATGTATATTTACTATTGCAAACATTGAATAAAAGGAAACAAGCAATCTATGTTAAGTTCAATAGGAATTTAACATTAGTTTTGCAACTATTTCACATAAATTTACGAACGCATTTACTCAGTATTTGTACCAACATTAATAAAATCACTATAAAGTCTTTCAACGCTTCATTTTTCACATAATTTCGCAAACACATTAACTCTATCAGTGTATCACTCAGTACATCACATTTTTCTTTTTACTTAAAAAAAAAAATGACTCCAGTGTTCACTGTTGCAAAGAGCTACGGATCTGGACAGTCTCCTCTTCCATACGTCCTTTTTAGCGATCGCGATAGCTCGTTTCGTTTATGTGGTTTCGTCATTGCTTGATAAAGTTCATCGGAGTTTTGTGACAGAGAAAAAATGCCGTAAACAATTTGGAACACATACATGTTTTTTGTTGTTCAAACCATATCGAGAGTGTAACATTGCTACAAAAACAGTTAAAAACCCTCGACAACATGTGCGCTTGCAAGCAAAGGAATATCAGCCGAAAAGACTACATAATTCACTTTTGGGTGTGCAGGGCTTCTAAGGTGTTTAACAGCATACCTACCGATATACCAATATATAATTAACAAACAATAGATCGCTATTAAATGTGACTGGTACGCGGTTTCAGACAGGTAGGCCAAGTTAATCTGATAATGATGTAACGCCACCTGGTGACAGGGTCAGTAACCTGTGACGAAAACAATGGTCGTGAACGACACACATGTTCACGGTTCACTGCCCACCGGGTAAACTTTAATCACTGGTCAGAACTTGGTCGTAATTGTGAGGTGGTCGTTAGGTGAGGTTTCACTGTGGTTTTTTTAATGTATATTTCCAAGGCACAACCAATTAGATATGGTAAGTCAATTGTTTTATTCAGTATCAATAGCACACACACGTATAATATGACCTTGAAGAGCTGATTGGCTAAAGGTTTCCACTGATAATATCATTAGTATTGTTATGTCTGTTACGCCAAAGAAAAACATATAAAGTAAAAGTATCACATATTTAGATTCTGCATCACTCTAATACAAATTATTTTAATTAATGATAAAAATCATACATTCCTTTCATCAATAATCTTACAATTTAAGTTTACAGAGGTTCATTAAAATGACATATTCTCAAACTTGTCTTATGAATCTCTGGGAATAGAAACTCTTGTAATGTCATCTATTTATTATATTGTTTTAAAAAACCCAATCTTTCCTATTTACTTTTAACTTTAGAAAGACAAATAATTTGTGTTTGAAAGTTTGAAACACAAAGTTATTTATCATTTATTTACCAAAATCCCACTCTATTTTGAAACTTGAGGTGGTATATGGTGATTATACTGTCACAAATTATTTTCATTAACCAATCATATATTGCGTAATACAATGTATTTCATTAACCAATCAAATTTTGTGTTAAGTTTCCTTAGAATTAAATTATGAATTAATATATCTTTTACTATTTAATAACATGAATCAAATCTATCTTTATACATGGCTAAGTTTGGACAAAGAAACAAAAAAAAAAACCACCCTGACAATTGTTCCCAGTGAAATGTTTCTCTTTATGCCAGAATTTTGTATATGTTTTTAGAATGTACAAACCACAAAAAGACAAGTAGAGAAGCAATCAATTAGTGAAGGGATCACCATAAATATAGAACTTTTAACAATTATTTGAGGATCTTGTTAAAATGTAAGCCATGCTGTGTCTCTTTGGTTGATATCATTTTAATTACCTTCCCTGAGCTTCGTACAACATTCCTCGTAGTCTGTCAACTCGTATACTTTTTGGAAAGTTATCCTTTAGTACGGAAATACATGCCTGAAAGATAACAATTTATTTTAATGAATTTCAACCATTTTTATATGAAATTATATACTGCTGATTCTGAATGCTGCTTATTGAAAAAGTATGTTCACAATAAATTTGGTTTCCTTCAACTGAAAATCATCTGTGTACCGACACATCTATATTTCAATTTCTATGATGTATAATGAATTTATAAACAATATGAAAACACACAATGATAATTTTCAAATTTTTTCGCTATCTTAGTTTGCTCATGATTATTAAAAATCTAAGTGTCCCTTATAGAAATATTTATTACTGACTTTTCTAAGGAAAATACATAAAAATGAAATGTGCAGATATTATTAGAACTTACATCCACCAAATCAAAGCGTTGACAATCCAGAGCAGCGATGCATACTTGTTCATACACAACCCATACTGTAAAACAAACAATTCTATGAGTTACTACTAGTTCATACACAACCCATACTGTAAAACGAACAATTCTATGAGTTACTACTTGTTCATACACAACCCATACTGTAAAACGAACAATTCTATGAGTTACTACTTGTTCATACACAACCCATACTGTAAAACGAACAATTCTATGAGTTACTACTAGTTCATACACAACCCATACTGTAAAACAAACAATTCTATGAGTTACTACTTGTTCATACACAACCCATACTGTAATACAAACAATTCTATGAGTTACTACTTGTTCATACACAACCCATACTGTAAAACAAACAATTCTATGAGTTACTACTTGTTCATACACAACCCATACTGTAAAACGAACAATTCTATGAGTTACTACTAGTTCATACACAACCCATACTGTAAAACAAACAATTCTATGAGTTACTACTTGTTCATACACAACCCATACTGTAAAACAAACAATTCTATGAGTTACTACTTGTTCATACACAACCCATACTGTAAAACAAACAATTCTATGAGTTACTACTTGTTCATACACAACCCATACTGTAAAACAAACAATTCTATGAGTTACTACTAGTTCATACACAACCCATACTGTAAAACAAACAATTCTATGAGTTACTACACAAATCAACACAATCAGAATTTATTTCTTGCAGATACCTAAAGCCATGGGGACCTGAAATAGTGTATTACACATATTCACAAAACACATTTGTTTTATCTTCTTGGAAAATAATTTAACTTCATAATCATGCATTCAATTAAGCTGCAGATCATAGGATGACTACATAAAACTAGAACTATTGCCAGGACAACTGACTGATAACACCTCGTTCACCAATCAACGATAATTTTAGAGGGGTTATCCTAACAAGATTCCTACAACAGGTCTTCATTTGGTCACCCTGGCAACCAAATGGAAACAATCTTTTTTCTAGAAAATGGTATCATTGTATTTGTCATCCTTTTCATATCATTTTTCCACTTAATCAGATAATATCTTCATTTCAACCAGAAGCCTTCAAAGTGTTTCCATGGTTACGGCTTTGGAATACCTAATATAGGCTATGATTAGTTGTAGCACTCCGTCAAGTTTAGATAAAATAAGCTACAGACCATGGGATAACAGAATAAAAATACACAATTCTGACTAATGATTTGGATTTACAGGAATCTAAGGGCATTGATCATTTCCTGTCGAAATTGATCATCTCATGAAGCTCTTCTTGATCTACAGGTAATCAACAGGTTGACATCAACAGGTTGACAGGTAATCAACTAGTCGACAGGTAATCAACAAGCCAACAGATAATCAACATGTTGACAGGTAATCAACAGGTTGACAGGTAATCAACAAAGCCAACAGGTAATCAACTAGTTGATAGGTAATTAACAGGTTGACAGGTAATCAACAGGTTGACAGGTAATCAACAAAGCCAACAGGTAATCAACTAGTCAACAGGTAATCAACAGGTTGACATGTAATCAACAAAGCCAACAGGTAATCAACTAATTGAAAGGTAATCAACAGGTTGACAGGTAATCAACATGTTGACAGGTAATCAACAGGTTGACAGGTAATCAACAGGTTGACAGGTAATCAACTAGTTGACAGGTAATCAACAAAGCCAACAGGTAATCAACTAGTCGACAGGTAATCAACAAAGTCAACAGGTAATCAACTAGTCGACAGGTAATCAACAAGTCGACAGGTAATCAACAGGTCGACAGGTAATCAAGGCCAACAGGTAATCAACAGGTTGACAGGTAATCAACTAGTCGACAGGTAATCAACTAGTCGACAGGTAATCAACAAAGCCAACAGGTAATCAACTAGTCGACAGGTAATCAACAAAGTCAACAGGTAATCAACTAGTCGACAGGTAATCAACAAGTCGACAGGTAATCAACAGGTTGACAGGTAATCAAGGCCAACAGGTAATCAACTAGTCAACAGGTAATCAACAGGTTGACATGTAATCAACAAAGCCAACAGGTAATCAACTAATCGACAGGTAATCATCAGGTTGACAGGTAATCAACAAAGCCAACAGGTAATCAACTAGTCGACAGGTAATCAACAGGTTGACAGGTAATCAACTAGTCGACAGGTAATCAAATTGTCGACAGGTAATCAACAAAGCCAACAGGTAATCAACTAGTCGAAAGGTAATCAACAAAGTCAACAGGTAATCAACTAGTCGACAGGTAATCAACAAGTCGACAGGTAATCAACAGGTTGACAGGTAATCAACAGGTAGACAGGTAATCAACTAGTCGACAGGTAATCAACAAAGCCAACCGGTAATCAAATAGTCGACAGGTAATCAATAAGTCAATACGTAATAATTTATTGTTTTGAATTTAGATTCATTCTGATGGGTCAATCTTACCAAAACACCCAAATTCCAAACAAGGGAGGTAACTATGAACATTTGTACTGAAAGAAAATAAATTATCATAATGTCTGGTAAAAAAGTATAGGTACTACTAGGATAAAAATTCACAAAGTGACATTACCTTCTAACACAACATGTTCAACTTACACTCATCTCCTAATTTGTTTCTGTTCTTCATCAGAACTTCTTCCCATACGCGTACCACAGTCTGTCCATCCCTGGCTTGTTCCTCTCGAACCCTTCTTAAAATATTTCTTGCTTCTATAATGAGAAAAACAATTTCATGTAACACATCCAAGTACACAGTACAGTAAAAACCAGTAAGTCAAAGTTGACGAGTCCAAATGAAATATTCAACATACCCGATGGTTTCTATGAACTGAGACATTGCGCAATTACGAATGACCTTATTTTCCTCAGTTGTTTACAGGATATGTGTCTCGTAGCATGACCTGACAGTACAACAAGAGGCCCAGAGGGCCTGTATCGCTCACCTGGATCTTTATGACCAATAGTACTATATCTGTGTACATGTTCCATGTTTAACACATTTGACCCCTGTGACCTTGACTATGGGTCAAGGTCATTTCTTTTTGCAAACTTTCTTGGACTTCATAAAAGGAACATACTGGCCAAATATAATGATTCTAGGCTTTTCGATATTTCAGAAGAAATTGTTTAAACATTTTAACACATTTGACCCCTGTGACCTTGAAGATTGGTCAAGGTCATTTCTTTTTGCAAACATTTTTGGACACCATAAAAGGAACATAGTAGCCTAATATAATGATTCTATGCCTTCCGGTATTTGGGGAGGAGTTGTTTAAAGGTTTTAACACGTTTGACTTCTGCGACCTTGAATTTGGGTCAAGGTCATTTCTTTTTGCAAACTTTGATTGGCTTCATCAAAGGAACCTTTCTTTGGGCCAGATGAGCTAATAACATATGGGAGACCTGTCACATGCTATCCAAAGCCATTAAGAGTGAAGTATATTTCTTGTACATTATGTCCACACAGACCAGTCTGTTTCTATAGCTTCATAAGAAATACAAACTGACACAGATATGGAGCGTCAAAATTAGCACCTTGAATCACCACCTAGATAACATAGGCTAACACCTTAATCAGGTGAGCTTTTGTAACCATCTATGACAATACATTTGTATTTAGGAATGTATATATATCATTATGGAGATGACTGATATTTGTAGTACAATCATACAAAATTGAACATTCTTACAAATTAATTAAAATTGACATTTCACATGTCTCCATTGACCATATTCAATATTGCTTCATATAACTGATACTCTGATGTGAAATCATGCAATGAAAGATTGGTATTTCACAATCTGTATGTTGTCATTCACTACCAAACATGCAGGGCTAGCGCTGGCGATCGCCAATGGCGCCATTGGCAAAAGTGAAATGAGATTGGCGATTTCAAATTTCTATTGGCGAAAATTCCGATTACAGACATTTCCAGTCACTGATGACTGTATAGAGAAAAATCACTGGCGTTTAACTTATTTGTAACGATTGACACAGGTAAATTTGCTCCGACATCGTTGTGAACTACATGGTCACGGCTGACTGACTCCCGCAGCTGGGGCAAGGTCAGCTATCGGAACTCTTTTGTGTTTTGGCAAACGTTTACCTGTCTAAACAGCAACACGCCTGTAATGAAAATCGCCAATTATTCAATGATGTCTCCATGGTCTTAATCCGAGATAGCCTCTGCCGTGAACGATACGGTAAGTTAGCTGAAGGAAAGATGTTGTTTTATCGGGAATTGGCTTACGGTATGTCGATCATTAGGTGTGTCAATGTCGTTAATTGGGCACAATTTTGTGATTTCTGCAGACATACCTTAGTAAACTAGTGTATTTGAAAGGGCCCGAAATGGGGGATGCTTTGTCTGCTGTTAGCAAGTTGTTTGATCCAGCTCTCTGTCTGTCAGGTGTGTCTGAGGATGTTGTAGATGATATTGTGTCATATATAACTAGGTGTGGTCTAGGGTCAGAGGTAGAGTGTAGGCAGGAGGTGACAGGGTTTAGGGCATATGCCAAGGTTCATGTGAGAGGAAGTACTCAGTCTTTTCAAGGTATAGGGGATGTAGCTCAGTTGGCCATTAAGTGTAGAGACAGTTTCCCCATGGTTGCCATGACTGCGGAACGATTACTGGTCATCCCTGTATCCACAGTGGACTGCAAGAGAGGCTTCAGTAGACAGAACCTGATAAAGACAGACCTCAGAAACAGCCTTGGTCCTTGAAGCCTGGAGAATCTGATGAGAATATCCATTCATGATGGTGATGTAGACTTTGAATCAGCATTCAAGAAGTGGTCAATTGCCAAGCAGCGACGTATCTTGATGCCCCGCTACTAAAAATGGACAGTGACTGAACTGATCAACCTGTGTTGTTTGGTGAAATGTGAAATAACCATGTGGAACTTTATTTGTTCATTAATTAATAGTAGCTGTTTATAGAATCATTGGTATAGTTTCCTCTCATGAACTTTTAAGAAATAATTTCATGTTTATAAACTCTTTTACCATATACTGTGTTATGTTTGATGTATTGTTGTTAAAAAAGTGAATAAATAATTATATAATTAGCATATGTGTTTCTATTATATGAGGGAATTAAGGGCTCGTTGGGTTGGGGTGAGTTCCGGAATCTGTGCACGTGCTTATAGCAAAAACAATTTGGTTTGGCGAAACTGAATTTTGACCCAAAGCTAGCCCTGAAACATGTGTTATTGTTGCATTAATGTGGCCATATCAAGTTAACCTGGTCCTATAGTTACTGTTAATTAATATTGAGTGTACATAGTTACAAAATAAATGCAATGTTAACCATGAAATTCCCTCCCAAAAATTGTTTGAAATTCGGTAAATTGACCAAAGATATTCCTTACTCCGACTTATCTGACTTAGTCATCTATTTTATTCAATCTGCACAAGACCCATACAGCATTTCACCTGATTGTTTACATCTGCCCGTGCCTGACTTAGTCGGATCATTTGAAATTAATTATGATTATGTTTCAATAGTAATTAAGGAAGTACGGGTAATACTGGGAAACAATCCAGCTCGAATTCACATTTTTTCGTACACAATTCAATAGTAAATACAATTTACAAAATTGAGATTTTTGACCATTTCCAAATATTTGTTGATATTAAGGTAGGACTAACTAGTATTTGGGTAGTGTTGGGTTAGTGTTTGGTCAAAAGGATAATTGTACAACTACTGCCATATCGTCCGACTCATGAATTTGCCAGAAAGGTAAGAAATAATGTGTTCTCTTCAATGTGTCGAGGACGAATCATCCTGTCACCAACTCGCTTGTATTTAACCTAGTTTGCGGATTTTTTTTTCTCTTAAATACTCTGCTAATGATTAACTTCTGAATAAGTTGGTTAAACAAAGGAATACTATAAGCTAAAACCGAATTAGAAATTGTTTATCAAGTAAGATAAGCACATAAACATTGATTTAATACCTACCTTCCCATCCAATGCGTCGCGCCATATTGTCTGGTGAAATCTCGTCGGAAACAAGTTCAACGAGATATAATTTGGAGCGTGCGCAGCGCTGTGTTGCTATAGCAGCCGATCAAGCAAAGGCGAAGGACTTGGCATCGAAATAATTTGCGACGAAACTTGTGGCCAAAATGATTCCACCAAACGCATCTTTGGTCAAGTATGACAATCCAGTCCTTGTCAGTAGAAATACAGACAAGAAGACACCACGGGTATGGTTTATATTATTTTGTATAGAAATATTTTAAAGTTCATTTAAGTTTGTAAACATGTTATGTTAGTGTTTACATGTCAGGCATGCACTGTGCTATGCCACTTTTGTGTGGAAGGAATGATTCACAAATAAGTTCTCTAGTAGAAGATGGTTTTGTGTTTTAATTGTAACAATAGTTTTTCGGTTGCGATTCATCCTTTAACCATAATCTCAGTCTACAATCAAGAATTTGTAATTTCTATCAATTTTCAGAATGTTGCTATGCTATGCTTACATATGTATCAAAAGGTATTTACCGACAAAATATGAAAAAGACTATTCTTTTTATAAATTTGAGAACTAATGATTTAGTTGTCATTCGTGTAGAATAAACATGCATGACGCATCGTTAAACTATAATCAAACTACACCTATTTCTATGAATGATTCTGCTGCCACTTCATATAATTTAAGAGGTTTCTTTTAATAATAATATTTATTAGTGTTCTCCATATCAGAAAAGAACAATGATATTGGAAAGGGAATCAAGCTATTCTGGGCTCGTATTCATGAAATCGTTCTCATGCTCAAGCATGAATTTTGTGCTCAAGTCTTATGTCTTGTTTAAGTTTAAAAAATAATAAATAAGGCTGATTTTGCCAAAGATTTTTTTTTAATTCAAATGACTTCAAGTCAAAGCTATATTCAATATTTATATTTGACATTTGTATTATTTTATATGATTTAGGTGAATTATAAAAATGTTTGCTTGAGCACAAAATCTTTGCTTGAGCATGAGAATGGTTTCATGAATACAGGCCCAGAATTCGCTTAAGTGTTAATGGATTATATTTCATTTAATTAAAAATGTATTTCTTTATAACCATGGAATGTAATGCCTTACATTGATACAATGTTGAAATCTTTACTGATCTAATGTTAGAAACATGTCACAGTAAAAAGATTGACCACAAGTTCAAAGACTTCTGAGAATCTCAAAACAATTTTATTTTCGGTTCTGTCACAGCTGGCAGTCAGCATTCCTTCATATAAAAAGATATATCAAATACAACCACGGGGAAAAGTAGATAAATAATGAAATGATGGATAGACAATCAGAGTATCTGGATATTACTGGATACCACATGGTTACACTGAAAAGAGCTGCAAGATAGAGAGACACTTGACAGACAAAATTAGGGATGTCACATATTGTGGTATAAAGTGAAATGCCACCAATGATATTCTTTTAGAAATTGTAAGATTATTTCATTATTAACAGGCTAGAGCATTGAAAGTGAGCCCAGGTCCTTCCACAGCAGCCGGCCCTGTTCCAAACCCACCAGGTAAACAGAAACCTACTTCAGTAGATGCTAAAGCTGCACAACAGACAGATGAAATCCTCAACTCCATCCTACCACCAAGGTAATTTATTACAACACTTGTGTTTATTTGGTAATAAACCAATACCTGACAATAACTTCATCCTCATTACACTATAGTGATTTTCAATCCACTTTTTAAAAAATGCACTCAAAGGAATCAAATACCATGATTACCAGAAAGTGGTGTTTGATCATTTTTCTGCATTGTCAATCTTTGAACAGGGAATGGACAGAAGGTGGTCAATTATGGGTCCAGCAAGTGTCCAGTACTCCAGCCACACGTCTGGATGTGGTGAATCTACAAGAAGAACTTGACAGACGGTTACAGCAGAGGCAAGCAAGAGAGACTGGAATTTGTCCTGTACGGAGAGAGTTGTATTCACAATGTTTTGGTAGGTTTTCAAGTTTTGCAATATTGTGTCAACTATTTTTAGATACAGATAAATCTCTCCTTATATGGAAAACTGTAATCATAATGATAGAAATGATGAAGTGGTATAGCCAAAGACGGTAAATGATCCCTGAGGTTGAGTCTGCTGTATTTCATATTGTACCTGTAAATAAAGACAACCTGCCTTTAAAAGCACTTTCCTTTTCTCTATTGAGTGGTCTTTATAGACAGGTTTATTAGTAATATACTTGGATCCATTCTTAATCTTGAACAGATCTATGGAATCATCTATATTTCATAACCATGTCAATATCACTTTGGGTTAAATGTGCAATAGCAGAAAATGTTTCCACTGTAAATAATTCTGTGCCAGATAATAAGCACTCTGTGTAAGGAGTACTATCAGTAGAAATGCCAGTTTTTAAAGGTGTATAATCGGTTGGTAATATGAGACATACCTTTAGAAACTATTTTGAATCAGGGTTATTTATTGGCCCCTGTATGTACTTTTACCTATAATATAACCCATTTTGTTATGCAGATGAGCTGATCCGTCAGGTGACCATTAACTGCGCTGAGCGTGGACTCCTTCTGCTGCGTGTAAGAGATGAGATCCGAATGACAATAGCTGCATATCAAACATTGTATGAAAGCAGTGTGGCCTTTGGTATGAGAAAAGCTCTCCAGGCAGAGCAAGGAAAGGCTGACATGGAAAAGAGGGTAAGAATTGATCAGAGTTCACTTTAATCATCCCCGCAATGAAATGGAGTGGGGGGGGGGATGTTAAATTATCCATAAGAATAGAGAGTGGTAATATTTTTTCTTCTGTTGACTTTGTTTGAACTTCATACAATTTTACATGGAACATCAAAGATTGTTTAAATCAAATTGAATTTAAGTCAAGATCATCTGTTTAATAACTCTCTACTATTGGCCTAGTATTTTGTTCAGGTTTTGTTTTTTGTTTAATACTTACTTAGCTTTGTGATGCTAAATAAAAACATACACCTCTTTTACCATATATTTTCAACTGACTATGTCTTTGTCAACCATGTACGTGACATTATTAATCATGGTTGAAATTATAAAGTATTTAAAATGTCATGACCTAATTCTGTTCAATTAATTTGCAGATTACAGAATTAGAAAATGAGAAACGTGATCTAGAACGAAATGTGAATGAATTGAAAGGAAAATGTGAACAGATCGAGAAACGTGCTCAGGAACAGAGACAAGTGGAGGAGAAGAAACATGCAGAGGAAATGCAGTTCCTCAAGAGAACCAATCAGCAACTCAAGGTGAGTCAAAGGATTGAAGGTAAACCAAGGAATTTCATCACATGATTGATCATCAGCCAATCAAAAACAGACATTTTATGAAATATTTAAATGTCAAGTCAATGGAATATGAAGTTGACATTTGCAAAATTAGTGAATATAAGCAAATAAAAAAAAAAGCACAATGTCAAAATAACTGATAACAGTGTTCAACCATTCAATTATATTTCTAGGAATCCGCCTATTTCTTCAACGTTATAATAAATTTGGGAATTAGACAGAGAAATTCCTGTTTGAAGTTATAATCTTACCCTATTCAAAATTCACATTCTCTAGACAAGTTGTAAACATTAATGTGAATATGAAACAAAATCAAAGAAAAAAAAACATTCTTATGAGAAAAATATTGAAATATAGTTGCATAATAATTAAATTGACTTCTTAAATTTCAAAAAATCTATCTCTTTGATTTTCTCTGTTTAATTAAACAGACGCACTTCTGAATGTGGTAAACTAAATTTGATATTTTCACAAAAATGAGTACCAATTATTTTGCAATTAAGATTTTTCGCATGTTTCACATTATTGAATTCACAAAGATAACAAAAAATCTACATTGTTGAAAAAATATAAAACTTGCATGCGACACAGTAATGTTTTTACTTTGGTTTTCATAAAGCAAGCTTATCAATACATGAAAGAAGAAAAAAATTGCAATTTGTCCAAAAATCTTAAGAAAGATATTTATTTTACATGTTATTCAGGTTATAAGGAAGAACATTTTTTGAGCACCTGCAATTTAACAGCAGTTATTTTTCCACTCTGGTGATTTTCAATGTTCAGAATAAATTCATACAATAGATGATCTCTTGAAAATAACTATCAAATTTTTATTCTAGGTTTGCTTCATCGTCATAATTTTTACAGTTATGTTTTTTTTAAAATCAAGTGTATACCTGAACTGTTTGAATTGTTTAAAGCACTATAGCAGTGAATTTAAAGTTTATGCTACTCGTTAGAAAATATTTCATTACTAACTTAAATTATTATTGTACTTTTCACTTGTGTCCTAAACATCAATTGGTTGCATTCAAATGACTTTCCAATAAAGAAAATTAAATTTTCTGTTTTAAGGAACCCAAATAGCTTGTTTATTCTCTACTAATGTAACTTTAATTTTTGATTTCAGACTCAATTGGAGGGAATCATTGCTCCCAAGAAGTAAACACTAGAAGTGAAAGAACAATACCATAATATGACCAAGTAACTTTGCCAAGTAAAACAACCAATTGTTTCCAAATTTTCAAAGGATTGTTCAAATCTGTCTGTCCAAATTCAAGAAAGGAAACACTTCACAGGAAATTTTCGCAGAATTATTTCCACTCCGTCCATCTCCATTCATTCATTAGCAATGGAAAACATCACATTTCTCTGGCCATACTGCTGAAACACATGACTTAGCAATATTATTTATCTGTGGTAATAGAGTTGTAACTGTTAATTGTTTTGCCAATTTATTCTTTGAGAAATTGTTTTTCATGATAAAATATGACATTTTTTTAAAAGCAAAAACATAAATGGGTTTGAATTTCCCAATACCAATTTGAGAAAGATGTTTTCTAAATTTCAGTGAAAAAAATAAAGTGCTTTGTAATTTTAACTTTGATATACATTCATGCTAACCATGTAATTTTTTCCATCTGTAAATACAAATTGTAGAAAATATTTATGTTTCAGAATAAATATATATATCTGATGTCAGTATTCTTTCATGCTTTCAAAGAAAAAATGTATGGTGCCACGCAATAAGAGTAATAAGTACTAATAGTACTGTTGCTATTTCAATGATTTTCCATTTAGCCTCCGTGGGCAACTTTCTGGTAGATCCCAGTATCACGCGCCAAGGGAAATCAACTCTAATAAGTTTGTTTAAATGAGGAAAGCAGTAAATGCAACAAAGCTTACCCATATGATCTCCAGGCATAGATTTATTGCAGCATATTATCTAACATACCAGGTAATAACCAGACTGCAGGTGTCTTTCCATTCAGCCAACATATCCTATTTTAGTATAGAGTACAGGGAATGTTGTGACAGGGGAGAACAGTGGGTACTAATTACAGGAAATTTAGGAAAGTGACTGATTCTCAGCTAACATCTTACCTGTGGAATCATTTAGATTATACCAATATGTATATTAAGACATATATATGAAAATCACAATAGAAATATTGATGGTCAACATTAACCTATTAACTCCCAGGAATTTTTAATGACACTAAGAAAAATCTGTCATTTTGCTTCAACATGAATTTTCTCCCTTTTCCAGTCGACTTTTCCCTAAGCAGCCCCCCATATATTTAGAAACATAGGAATATAAGCTTTCAAATCTTTTGACAAAATCATATTTTACGAATTATAATGATGTTACCTTAGCAACCAAAACTTTAAACATTTGAAAAATATATTATATCAATTTCCTATCATTAGCAAATGTTTTCGACAATAGAAGTGAATAAAAAAAAATACGTCCGAAATTTATGGTATTGTGAACTACTGAAGTAGGAATTTTAGGATATGTATGCCAGAATGGTTGCTGCCATGGTTACCAGCTTGTTTTTCGAATATTTGATGTTGAAATTAGCAAATTTCATTTTGGTTTGCATAAATTCATTACATTTACATTGCATTATTTCTTTTTGCATTTTATGGTTGCCATGGCAACAAAAATTGGAATTTTTCGAAAAACATTTATTTTGTGTGTAAAAACCAATTTATCTCAGGAAGCATGGAATAAACAGTTTTTTATACACACTGTGTAAGTTCTGATCTATTGAAGTGTTTAAATTACAAGCCTTATTGAATATTGATTTTCAGATGTAACAACTACGTGAAGTAGAAAAATAAAATTAATTTTCAATTTGTTTATTCTGTATATGGTTTGGTTGTTATAATGACCAGTAAGTTTAAATGTGGTTGGTCATTTGAATGTCTACACATTTTTATTTCACTAGTGGGGTTTGTCATTGAAACAAATTGAAAATGCCTCTGTGTCAACATAATCATAATCCAAGCTCAAATCCAATAAAACTAGGGCAAATACGAACAAAAGAAAGGTTTACACAGAGACTACTGAGAAAGTCCAAGGAGAATAAGACCAGGTGTTCCTGAAGAGAAAGCATCTCTGTTTTAATGACCACATCTTTCATGCTAACTTTGGTCAATCCAAGTAATGTCACGCTCTAAAATCAGAACAAGGTATATAGAACAACAAAACTAGCAGGTAAACTAATGAGTATCAAATATGTCCATATTCATATCACACAAAGAATTAGAATATTTCTCAATGAGATCACTATGACGACCATGCATTAAACTCCCCATAATTTTCATCAACCAGTATCTTTTGAACTCCTGTCTTATAAGTTTGACCGCCAGTTGACAACTTCTTGCATTAAATAATGGGTACAGGCCCTTGAATGTCTAATCAACTGTGACATGTAAATACCATAGGATGGAGGTGCAGAGATAAAGAATGGAAAATTCGCAATAGGGAAATTGAAATCGTCATGCATATCATAAAGCTTGGTGTAGGAACTAAATAGTGTCCACTTCTACTATTTCCACATTTCCAGAAAATCTTACTTGTGCATTTGCCATGTCAACTTAGTGGTGGTATACAGTTAAAAAGTCAAATATCTGATAACTTCATAAAAATAGTAGTGAAAAAAACAAAGAAAATTATTGGTGCAAAGTAAATTATCATTTACTCACATTTACAGTGAATAATAATTGTTTTTATAACAACAATTTTATTTTACTTTTGTAATCAATGTTTTTGATAAACAAGTATATTGACATTCATGAACTAATATATGAAAAAACAAATTTTGTTTATGTTGAAACAACAGAATGAATAGTTATACTATGTAATCATGATTATTGTTTCTGTTATGTATACCACTAGCTCTCTTCATGTCTTTATGCCTACAGTACATATATCTGTCTATAAAAATATTTAAACAATTCCTTGCCTTTACTTTTTCCTAAGTTCCTAATAGCATGCTTATAGTTGAACCGGTGAATTAGGTATTGAATACACTATACTTATTTTCATCCAGGTAAATACAGGTAATTACAGGAAATGTTTTTTACAAATGTTGATGAGTGGTAATGAATCAGATTGCCAATTCACCAATGTCAGCCAGGTCCACTTCTCATGGGGATGTTTCAACTCCTTACCTGGAATATCCTGGATGTTGTCAGATGACCGTGATTACCTAAATCACTACCTGTCTGTAGATGCTTTTTTTGACGGTTGTTCCACAACTACTCTCCTGTCTTTTGACCTATTGGGATTGAGCTGGAAATTCCCTGTATCCTCTCTCTGTGCAGAAGATCCACACATCCATCCTGTTATTCTAACCTCTTTTAGTAATGAAATGCCTCTCCACATAATTCTTCCCCATGCCTTGTCAGCTCTACCAAAACCATTTGTTTCCTTGCTTTGACCAGATGAGAATATCTGATCATAGGTTTTTGTAGATGATGTTGGGTAAAAACAAGTTTCCTACCTAGGACAGCTCTCATTTCCCAGCTCTGTTCGCAGCCAGGATTCCAGTCTAGGGAGTTGTTGCTTTCCCTGTTGTATCCACATTGTCCCTATGTCTAGGTTGTCTGCTGTACTTGATGACCTTTTTTACCTGACCTTATCTTTATGCCAGTATTCTTTTCCTTAGAGTCCCCCAAAGTCTTTCCCAGTCTTATATTCAACATGCTAAGCTATTCCTAATCACTACTTAATTGAATTGTTCACAACATAAGGAATGTGTACTTGCACTCCCGTTTTAAAACAATGATATATAATTATGTTCTCTTCTATTCAACCCAGCATTTTCCATTCAGGGTATCCCTTAACATTGCTTGATTTCAGTCCATCTGACTTCTGGTGTATACTCTTGCAAAGTCGAAAAATATATGATCTTTGACTGCCACAGGGACAAATTCAAATCCCATGGACCATTTATGTCCCTGTGGTGATCGTTATACAAAACACATTTGTGGCCAAATCATCACTTTGTAACCAGCCATGTTAGTAACTATCAGATGTGTAACACAGCAACCTCTACAGAAAGTTATGTCCACTTCATGACTTTGCTTACAAGGATGAAACAGCTGTATGATGCAGTTTGATTCATTATTTGACTCGAACAAGAAATCATAAATGTCACCGGTGTTGTCAATAATAGAGATTATCAACAAACAATGAGATAGAAATTGATTTCTATTTGAATATGACTGTTGACCTTTACACCCTGTTAAAGCAAAAACAAAATTGTACTATTTCACCTGGAAAAGTAAGGGATAGTAGTTTGGGATTTTCACTTTTTTTTTTTTAAACTGATGTTTGGTAGCTTTTGACATTGATTTCTGAAATACAGCATGTTGGTTCAGGAATGATATTCCATTTTTGAAAATGATGGTCTATGTTATGAGTTTAAACTTAATCCATTGAACAGTGTACGAGGGTTTGCAATTAGAAGGTTCTGGACAGATGGACAGACATACAGACGAGTGTTTCCTATGTACCCTCTTTCCAACTTGTTTGTAAGGTTCTGGACAGATGGACAGACATATAGACAAGTATTTCCTATGTACCCTCCTTCCAACTTGTTTGTAAGGTTCTGGACAGATGGACAGACATACAGACTGGTGTTTCTTATGTACCTTCTTTCCAACTTGTTTGTAAGGTTCTGGACAGATGCACAGCCAGACCAATAATTCCTATATACCTCCCTCCAACTTATTTGTAAGGTTCTGGACAGATGGACAGACATACAGACAAGTGTTTCCTATGTATCCTCCATCCAACTTGTTTGTAAGGTTCTCGACAGATGGACAGACAGACCGCTGATTCCTATATATCCTCCCCCAACTTGTATCATCCAAGCAATGCAGTTATCACTTCACTTTCAAAATTATTCATGAGAGATGCATACTTGTTTGGGACACAGGATCTCAGCTTGGCTTTTTGTGAAAGTTCATGATGTTTTCAGGAATGGTGTACATTTAAAACTTTCATTGCAAAAACCAATGTTGGCATGGTGACCTGTATCACCCTTGATAGGTGTCAAGAGAATATTGACATCGGTCTGTATAAATACATATTATGTGTCTCTGGTGAATTTACTTCAGGAAATCAACAGAGATTTTAGAGTAACTTTTGCCAAAATGTTGAAAGTAATTGCAGTCAGAGGATGAAAAATTAGGTTGGTTTGAAAACATTTTTGCCCTAGTGAAGCATTGTATGTTGATTCAGTTTGATGTGCAAAGAGAAGCTTGAGTTATCTATCTCTACGGTTACATTGTCATTGACCTATGACTATCATATTTAAAGAAATCTCTGTCAAGCGTTCCCAATGACAAAATGTCTCAAAGTTCAATATTAACAGCTTAGTCATTGGTAGAGGAACATTTGTTTGGATGACAACAGCAGTTCGGTTCAGTCAACCTCTTCTATTCAGATAACAAAAAGTATTCAAACGAGGACTTCAATAATGACAATGCATTGTTTTATTATTAAATCATTATTGATTAATAAAAAACTATATCTATAAACTATGATATTGCAGTCATGCTTTCTCGAGTCACAACCTCATAGAATTTCATAACTTTTTTTAAAGGGAATTCAATTTCTTTGTAACTTGTTTTTAAATCAATATACAACACAGCACAAATCAACGGTCATTTCAATTATACAGGGTTGGAATAACAACAAACACAGTCATCAATTCTGAATTATTGGTTAACGAAGTTTTTTTTATAAAAGTTGGGTTTCAGCTGATTCAAGGAAACATGTTATACAGACGTATGCCAAAACGTCTGATTTTTCCACTAGCAAAAAGTTTATGAACTTTCCTTACTATCAAAAAATTAAGGCAAAAAACCTGAATATGCTTCAGGTTAGTTTATACCTAGTAAGTAAAGGTGAAAAATGTTTCAATTTGTCCTGTATTAATGCACATTAAGGCAATGGTATGTAAATGACTACCTTGTAAGGAAGTTTATCTAATCATAAAACTATCATCCGCTGTTTGCCAATCTCTTTTTTTATGCCTGAATATTTGACAATGGTGATTTATTTTCTTCTGAAAAGACAGAAAGCCAGAAAATCAGCAAGAAACCCATCTTTAATAAATCAACATTCTAAAGACTGAGAAATCACCGCCTTCCAACCCTACGACCAAATCACCAATTTTATTATAATTTTTTGCATTTCATCTTCACAATGTTGCTGAATTTGATTTGACCAACATTTTTCCTAAATAAAGAAGATAAGTGGCACTTGTTGGGATCCAATTGCATAGTTGACAATTTCTTTGGCAGATAATGCTACTTTATAATGTTAAGCTGAAAACAGGATTGCTTTTGAAGATTTCTGAGAGGCGCTTTTTACTCTACATAAGGATGAAGGCATGTTATTTGTTGCTAGAAGGTAACTGCTGACATTTAGGTTATATGCTCCCATGCAAATTGAGTTGGGGTTGTCTCCCTTGAACATATTTTTTTTTATCAATGTCAATACTTTTTTGCACTTCTGATTTCAACTGCAATGTTCTCATGCAAATTGAATTTGTCCAAATTGACATTCTCAAATATATAACTCTGATATATTTCAGCACTGAACTCTTTTGGAAAGAAGATAAAGGTAGCATATAACCTTAAACTACTCACTAATTTCTGACTTCGATATGTTGAAAGTTAAGATTATTAGATCAATTCATGGATGGATTTTTTTTCTTTTGATGCATTCACGAATCATGACACTGCACACACTTGATAACTAAATAATTATGTCCAACCTTGAACACATCTATGTATAACCTATATACATGTTGAAAAATAAGCATAAAAATGGGTGTATATATCTATATGAAAGCTGTACGGTAGAAATTCCTTTTCAATCCATTTTTATGAAGCATCCATTCAAATAATTTAATACTTAACACAATACATGTTAAATGTATATATGCTTCGGTGGTTGAAACCCTTTTGACCGTTAAACATCTTTCAGCTTTCCCCTGATAATGCTAATTTGATATGACATGTATAGTAACAGTCTAAAAATGGCCTTGACAATGCATTTCTTATTTAAAACTATTTCACTTCCAAGACAGGCAGCAGGACTGCTGTTACTGTAAATTTGAAATACCTGAACTCATTTCCAAAACAAAGTGTTAGGCCTTAAAACCTGTTGTCATAAATGTAACAGTACATTATGTACCATATCACTCAGGGAAACTGGATTATTTCTTGACTGAGCTAAAATATCCTCTACTTATATGAATATCAATCAAAGAGACAAAACAAAGTGCTCCAACCCGGCTACTTTTAAACATCTTCTATACAACAACATGGATTCTATGGCCATGAAAAAAAAACAAAAACAAGCCTCAGATATCCGCTTCAGAATTAAAGTAGAGCAAGTAGTACATTTAAAGAAATCTTAGAAATAATTTCTTTGATTAAACACAGGAAGTGAAAAACAGCATACTTATTTTTTCTAATCAGAACTACAGGGTACATGTGTAACTTTGGTCAGTAAAATCTCACACGTGTAATTCATTGTTTCAATCATTATAAAGATCATAGTGAGATGATAATTTAAGCTAGTTACTGTTGAAAGTCCTGTCAGTTAAATAACAGTCATTTTGAATGTGAATGTGTTCATAACTTTGTTTTTAAGACCTCTTTCAGAGATATTTTTATCCAGAATAACTCCTTCTATGATGTACCACAAGGATAATGAACAAAAAAGCCATAGTAGATATTGTAGTGAAAGGACCACCACATATCATCAATACTGATACATCTAATATTGTGTATTTCATATAGATTCCACTTGATTTTCCATAACATTGTCCCTTTATGATGATAATCCTTACAAAAAGCACTCATTTTCAAGTATCAAAAATGCTACTGACATTTTATAGACAGTAAAATGAAATCAAAATAGTCAGACGAAAAGGTGCTTCACATATTTCTAACATAAATAGCTCTTGCCAACAACATTTAGCAAAACAACCTCCAATAGTTTGTAAGTCCTGCAATTAGAATCACTAATACACTTTCATGTATGATTAGGACTCTTAATATCCAGACTACAAAACACCTAAGACACAGTTAGTTCATTGAAAGGGTTTGCATAACTGCTTAAACTCACAATCAGGATTTGATTGCATTTTGAGGCACAATACTACAAATTGCTTCATATGGCATTTCAAATTACTGTAAATCACTTTGATTTAGCAAATTCTTTATTTCCCAGATTTACCTCTTTTACCTTATTTGCAGATAGATGATTTCACAAACGCTGATCTGGAATTGACTTTAAATTCACGAATCATGAGCTATTAGACACCTACACTCTTTAAGACTTCAAAAATGGTTACCGAATCAACAAAGATACCATACAGAATTATTTTACAAATAATAGCATGACTTTCCTCGCATATTAACCCGGAGATAAATCCCACGCAAAATTTAAATGATTTACAGTAAGTCAGCCATTTTAAAAAATAGGAAATGATTTCTCAAACACCAGAAGATCAATAAGAACCAAACTTGGACATATACAGATGTCCATTTTGTACAGCTATATTGTAGTAATGCTGATCAATATCATTAGCTGCTACATAATGCATACATAAAAAAACATTCACTGTATTTTTAGGAGCTGATCAAACATCCAATCCACTTAAATGTTACAGGCCAAAGGGTTCAACCAATCAAAACCATTGCAGCTAATATGCAATCAATGAGAAGCTGTCTCGTAAACTAAAGAGGGATTTAAAGTTGAAACACAAACCCATGAGAAATAAACATGAGAAATGAAATTGTTTTGTGTCAAACATTTCAATGAATATGATTTTAATCAAAAGCAACAACAATTTCCTTCTTTGTGACCTTTAGAACAATCTTGCTCTCCAAAAACAACTTTTTTCCAAATTAACACTTTTACCATGAAATGGTGAAAAATCAATTGTGTCTTTAGCCTGTCACAGGTTTCACGACTGCCCTCGGGGACTAGTGCACATTTCAGTCAATTTCAGTCTAGAATCACAGGTTCTGAATCAAGGTTATCAGAAAAACTCCCATTCACCATAAATTAATCGGACAAAAATCATGTCTGTACTGTTAATATCTCATTCCATTACAAACAAAAGATGACTGTGTGGCATCCTTTCCATGACTGCATAAAACTGGAACAGTGACAATCACTACAGAGGGTCAGTGATAAATGATTACAGTTTCTTCCTACGTCATCTCTTATTAAAACCATGAACATGAACGATCATCAAGATTACTTGCTGCAGGCTTACCTAACCTGGCACAGAGACTGGAGGCATCGGTCAATGATGCTGATTTTAAATAACAGTATATATATACCTTAGCACTATTTGGGCACAGCACGTAAGTGCTACATGCATCCCGACCACCTATCTCCAGTATTGCTTCAATCATCATTCTTAATGGACATCTGTTGCATGCCATCAGCTGCACCGTTGATATCCACATCCCCGTCTCCACGGTCTCCAGATGAATTATTTGACCGATTTGTCATTGGCTTGGATTCTTCTATTCTTAGCTGCTTGCCATTGATTTCAAATTCTCTGAGAGAGTCTAAGGCAGTTTCCATTTCACCCTGCTTTGTGAATTGAAAGAATGCATATCCACGTGCCCCATGCCATATTACGCGAATTGGGAAGATATCCATTTCACGGATCCTCGTTTTCAGTTCACTGACACGAGTTGCACGTGGAATGCTACCAACAAAGATTGTAGGCATCCTGGTACGAGGGTTGTTTCTCATTCTGCGTGGAGCACGACGCTCTCCACCTTTACCCCTTCTCTTGTCTGGCATCTCTCTGTCACCATCACCCTCTCTCGGTGAATACTCATCAACATTCTGCTCAGAATTTTCTTCCCCTTCATCACGGCGATCGGAAGCCCTCCGCCTCCTGCGTGGAGGTCGTGGACGTCTTCTGCGCTGCGGACGCCCTTGATCACCTTCAGCATGAGTTGCTTCATTGCCTGATGACTCACCTCTCTCCTCATTGACTATTTCTCCATCTCGTTCACTGTTTGGCCTTCGACGTCCTCGTCCTCCTGGAGCACGGCGCCTCCTATTAAATGGTGGACGTCTACGGCGGTAGCGATCATTCTCTCCGCTCTTTTCATCCTCACCATCATCGGCTGTCTCATCAAATTCCTCCCCATCTTTAAGAGTTACGTCCACTCCTGCTTCACGCTCCAAGACGCGTAGACGCCTAAGGATAGCAACTTGTCGCATCTTCTTGGGTGTAATGTAAGACCAGATAATACCTTTTGGCTGGGAACGTTTGCAGTCACACTTGATGATTTCAGTTGGTGTGACGATGTAGTTTACCTGAACATCATGGGGGGTCATAAGGGACTCAGGGATATCGAGTACCTGACAGTCGTGGACGGTCGAAATGACAATGGTGTTATCGTCAATGGCACCCATGCTTTTCATCATGGCATACTCAAGATCTCCAAAACCCTCGCCCTTACCAATACGAAAACCTGAAAGCAGAAAATCTATGTGTTGTAATACATGCGTTTTCTTTGACTTCGGACACAAAAACATCAGAGACATCAAAGATGAATCATTATTACTAACAGTTCTGTAAAGGCAGATTTTTTAAACAATTCCATTTGATTTTTTTGCAGTTTTACCAAAAGCTTTTGAAAGCGTTCTGTACAAGGTGCTGTTTTAAAACCCTAAGGATGTTTTTCCTTCTTTTTTTCTGACAAATGTCATACGGGCTGTCTAAAGATAAAAACAATGGGAGTCATTTAGTATAACTGACCTTCCTTGGACACTGCCACTGACCCTATAACAATAAGGTCAACTTTTACTTTGTCATCCAGACCAATCGGCTCGCTGTGTTCCCTCACTCCCTATAACAGAGAAAATCATTAGACCACACATACTGTTTGTGTGTTAATGTATTTGAATAGACAACACATACTGTTTGTGTGTTTATGTATTTGAATAGACAACACATACTGTTTGTGTGTTTATGTATTTGATTAGACAACACACTCTGTGATTATATGTACTTTATTAAACAACATATACTGTTTTGTGTTTATGTGCTTGACTAGACAACACACTCTGTGTGTATATGTACTTTATTAAACAACATATACTGTATGTGTGTTTATGTACTTTATTAAACAACATATACTGTTTGTGTGTTTATGTACTTATTTAAACCAGTGTATAATTGATCTTTTACATATGAAAATATTGTTTATTGTACAACAAAGCAGGAAAATCAATTAGAAATCTACCTGAGTAGTGGAACAAATCCTCAGCATTTCCTTGTTAGCATCCTCTGGGACCACAATCCTATTAAACAGTCCTGTCCTCAAGCGTGGAGTGGGCACTAACAAGGTCTTGTTAGCCTGTCAACAAGGTTCAATAATGACCTGGTGTTTTACACTTTATCATGTTATATTGTATAAATTTTTCTATATTTTTATTCCATCAGATAATCCACAAAAAGTATACAAATTATTCAACTACTAACAAAATTGATTAGTTCACGGAATTCCTTATAACAAATATTACGATAATATGTAGCACAGTATTACAACTTTTTGATACACCAAGCTGGTCTTGTGTCAGGCTCACCTCCATAACAACCATGTCTTGTGTCAGACTCACCTCCATAACAACCATGTCTTGTGTCAGATTCACCTCCATAACAACCATGGCTTGCGTCAAGCTACCTACTATACCACTCCTGTCAGACCTACCTCTACACAAAGCATGTCTCCTGCCAGACCTACCTCTGAACCAAGAATGTCTCCATAACAACCATGTCTTGTGTAAATCTCCTGTCAGACCTACCTCTACACAATCATGTCTCCTGTCAGATATATCTCTATACCAAGCATGTCTCTGCCAGACCTACCTCTATACCAAGCATGTCTCTGCCAGACCTACCTCTATACCAAGAATGTCTCCTGTCAGACCTACCTCTATACCAAGCATGTCTCTGTCAGACCTACCTCTATACCAAGCATGTCTCCTGTCAGACCTACCTTAACAATCCTGTCTCCTGTCAGACCTACCTCTATACCAAGCATGTCTCCTGTCAGACCTACCTCTATACCAAGCATGTCTCCTGTCAGACCTACCTCTATACCAAGCACGTCTCCTTTCACACCTACCTCTATACCAAGAATGTCTCCTGTCAGACCTACCTCTATACCAAGCATGTCTCCTGTCAGACCTACCTCTATACCAAGAATGTCTCCTGTCAGACCTACCTCTTTACCAAGCCCGTCTCCTGTCAGACCTACCTCTATACCAAGCCCGTCTCCTGTCAGAACTACCTCTATACCAAGCCCGTCTCCTGTCAGACCTACCTCTATACCAAGCTGTCAGACCTACCTGTCAAGCCTGTCAGAACTACCTCTATACCAGGCCTTTCTCCTGTCAGACCTATCTTACCAATCCTGTCTGCTGTCAGACCTACCTCTTTACCAAGCCTGTCTCCTGTCAGACCTACCTCTATACCAAGCATGTCTCTGTCAGACCTACCTGTATGCCAAGCATGTCTCTACCAGACCTACCTCTATACCAAGCCTATCTCCTGTCAGACATACCTCTATACCAAGCATGTCTCAGACCTCACCACCTACCTCCTGTATAAGCATGTCTCTGTCAGACCTACCTCTATACCAGGCCTGTCTCCTGTCAGACCTACCTTACCAATCCTGTCTCCGGTCAGACTTACCTCTATACCAAGAATGTCTCCTGTCAGACCTACCTCTATACCAAGAATGTCTCCTGTCACATCTACCTCTATACCATGCCTGTCTCCTGTCAGACCTACCTCTATACATTGCATTTCGTCTGTCTCTTCTAGCTCTCTTCACTGCCTGTCTGCTGTCAGACCTACCTCTATACCAAGCATGTCTCCTGTCAGACCTACCTCTATACCAAGCCTGTCTCCTGCCAGATCTACCTCTATACCAAGCCTGTCTCCTGTCAGACCTACCTCTATACCAAGCCTATCTCCTGTCAGACATACCTCTATACCAAGCATGTCTCTGTCAGACCTACCTGTATGCCAAGCATGTCTCTGCCAGACCTACCTCTATACCAAGAATGTCTCCTGTCAGACCTACCTCTATACCAAGCATGTCTCCTGTCAGACCTACCTCTATACCAAGCATGTCTCTGTCAGACCTACAAGCATGTCTCTACCTACCTCTATACCATGCCTGTCTCTGTCAGACCCTACCTCTATCAGACCTACCTCTATACCAAGCATGTCTCTGTCAGACCTACCTCTATGTCTCTGTCAGACCTACCTCTACCCTGTCTGCTGTCAGATGTCTCCTGTCAGACCTACCTCTACACAAAGCATGTCTCCTGCCAGACCTACCTCTATACCAAGAATGTCTCCTGTCAGACCTACCTCTTTACCAAGCATGTCTACTGTCAGACCTACCTCTATACCAGGCCTGTCTCCTGTCAGACCTACCTCTATACCAAGCATGTCTCCTGTCAGACCTACCTCTATACCAATCCTGTCTCCTGTCAGACCTACCTCTTTACCAAGCATGTCTACTGTCAGACCTACCTCTGTACCAAGCATGTCTCTGTCAGACCTACCTCTATACCAGGCCTGTCTCCTGTCAGACCTACCTTACCAATCCTGTTTCTTGTCAGACCTACCTCTGCACAAAGCATATCTCCTGTCAGACCTACCTCTATACCAAGCCTGTCTCCTGCCAGATCTACCTCTATACCAAGCCTGTCTCCTGTCAGACCTATGTCTATACCAAGCCTGTCTCCTGTCACACCTACCTTTATACCAAGAATGTCTCCTGTCAGACCTACCTCTACAAAAAGCATGTCTCCTGTCAGACATACCACTATACCAAGCATGTCTCCTGTCAGACCTACCTCTATACCATGCCTGTATCCTGCCAGACCTACCTCTATACCAAGCCTATCTCCTGTCAGACATACCTCTATACCAAGCATGTCTCTGTCAGACCTACCTGTATGCCAAGCATGTCTCTGCCAGACCTACCTCTATACCAAGAATGTCTCCTGTCAGACCTACCTCTTTACCAAGCCCGTCTCCTGTCAGACCTACCTCTATACCATGTCTCTGTGACCTACCTGTATCCATGTCAGACCTACCTCTATACCAGGCCTGTCTCCTGTCAGACCTACCTCTGTACCAAGCATGTCTCTGTCAGACCTACCTCTATACCAATCCTGTCTCCTGTCAGACCTACCTCTTTACCAAGCATGTCTACTGTCAGACCTACCTCTGTACCAAGCATGTCTCTGTCAGACCTACCTCTATACCAGGCCTGTCTCCTGTCAGACCTACCTTACCAATCCTGTCTCCTGTCAGACCTACCTTACCAATCCTGTCTGCTGTCAGACCTACCTCTATACCAAGCATGTCTCCTGTCAGACCTACCTCTATACCAACGCTGTCTCCTGTCAGACCTACCACTATACCAAGCATGTCTCTGTCAGACCTACCTCTATACCAGGCCTGTCTCCTGTCAGACCTACCTGACCAATCCTGTCTCCTGTCAGACCTACCTCTATACCAAGAGTGTCTCTGTCACACCTACCTCTATACCAAGCATGTCTCCCGTCAGACCTACCTCTATACCAACTCTGTCTCCTGTCAGACCTACCTCTATACCAAGCCTGTCTCCTGTCAAACCTACCTCTATACCATGCCTGTCTCCTGCAAGACCTACCTCTATACCAAGCCTGTCTCCTGTCAGACCTACCTCTATACCAAGCATGTCTCTGTCAGACCTACCTGTATGCCAAGTATGTCTCTGCCAGACCTACCTCTATACCAAGAATGTCTCCTGTCAGACCTACCTCTTTACCAAGCATGTCTACTATCAGACCTACCTCTGTACCAAGCATGTCTCTGTCAGACCTACCTCTATAGCAGGCCTTTCTCCTGTCAGACCTACCTTACCAATCCTGTCTGCTGTCAGACCTACCTGACCAATCCTGTCTGCTGTCAGACCTACCTCTATACCAAGCATATCTCCTGTCAGACCTACCTCTATACCAACCCTGTCTCCTGTCAGACCTATCTCTATACCAAGAATGTCTCCTGTCACATCTACCTTTATACCATGCCTGTCTCCTGTCAGACCTACCTCTATACCAAGCATGTCTCTGTCAGACCTACCTCTATACCAGGCCTGTCTCCTGTCAGACCTACCTTACCAATCCTGTCTCCTGTCAGACCTACCTCTATACCAATCCTGTCTCTGTCACACCTATCTCTATACCAAGCATGTCTCCTGTCAGACCTACCTCTATACCAAGCATGTCTCCTGTCAGACCTACCTCTATACCAAGCATGTCTCCTGTCAGACCTACCTGTATACCATGCCTGTCTCCTGCCAGACCTACCTGTATACCAAGCCTGTCTCCTGTCAGACCTACCTCTATACCAAGCATGTCTCTGTCAGACCTACCTCTATGCTAAGCATGTCTCTGCCAGACCTACCTCTTTACCAAGAATGTCTCCTGTCAGACCTACCTCTTTACCAAGCATGTCTCTGTCAGACCTACCTCTATACCATCCCTGTCCCCTGTCAGACCTACCTTACCAATCCTGTCTGCTGTCAGACCTACCTCTATACCAAGAATGTCTCTGTCAGACCTACCTCTATACCAGGCCTGTCTCCTGTCAGACCTACCTTACCAATCCTGTCTGCTGTCAGACCTACCTCTATACCAAGAATGTCTCTGTCACACCTACCTCTATACCAAGCATGTCTCTTGTCAGACCTACCTCTATACCAACCCTGTCTCCTGTCAGACCTACCTCTATACAAAGCATGTCTCCTGTCACATCTACCTCTATACCATGCCTGTTTCCTGTCAGACCTACCTCGATACCAAGCATGTCTCTGTCAGACCTACCTCTATACCAGGCCTGTCTCCTGTCAGACCTACCTTACCAATCCTGTCTGCTGTCAGACCTACCTGACCAATCCTGTCTGCTGTCAGACCTACCTCTATACCAAGCATGTCTCCTGTCAGACCTACCTCTATACCATCCCTGTCCCCTGTCAGACCTACCTCTATACCAACCCTGTCTCCTGTCACATCTACCTCTATACCATGCCTGTCTCCTGTCAGACCTACCACTATACCAAGCATGTCTCTGTCAGATCTACCTCTATACCAGGCCTTTCTCCTGTCAGACCTACCTTACCAATCCTGTCTGCTGTCAGACCTACCTCTATATCAAGAATGTCTCTGTCACACCTACCTCTATAGCAAGCATGTCTCCTGTCAGACCTACCTCTAAACCAACCCTGTCTCCTGTCAGACCTACCTCTATACCAAGCCTGTCTCCTGTCACATCTACCTCTATACCAAGCATGTCTCTATCAGACCTACCTCTATACCAAGCCTGTCTCTGTAAGACTTACCTCCAGGGTTAGGAAGCGCACATTCTCCTGTGGTTTATCTGGATTGACTTTCACAACTCGTGCTGATTTAAACTCAGCCATTGTTGGTACCTTCTCAGCAGCATTGGCTGCTCCCTGTTACAAACAGCAAGTCAAAGATGAACAATAATGATTCCAACATAACACATCTTTCTGATTTCATCAATAAATTCCTAATTTTGAAGGAAGGATAACAGTTTTGATAATTTTAGGGATTTTGAAGATTTCAAAGTGTTTATATGCTATATTGATAGTGCCATGAGGCCTTTAATTAACTAAGTGGACATAATAATCCTCTTTCTGAGTCACTGGGGCAGGTGTTTTATTAGAATGAATACCACAAACATATTTGAAAAATTTTCTACAAGGATTCTAGTACCTTAAAGTTAGGTATCCTGTTGTAAACTGGACGTGGGAAATTGACCAGGTTATTCTGCTCCAGGTAATCCCAGACAACTTTACGTATGGACTGCTTCGTAATCTCTGTAAATGTTGTTTCACATTGTCAGTTAAGTTCTGATCTAACATCCAAATTGAGGACTTCCAAAAGCAACTAAAATCTATTTATAAACTGATATTAAAAAGGACAAAGCCTATGTAAGATATATCTAAACAAGAGGTCCACAGAGAATTTATTGCTCACCTGAAAAAACTTGCTCCTTCTCCATCCAAAATTGCTTCTGACTAAATTTGGTCATAATCCAATCACTCCTAAAGGAGGAGTACGATTTTGAATAATTTGCTCAATTTCCCCTATTGGGCCCTGCCCCCAGAGGGCTTAGACCCAACGTTTTGCTCCTCTGGCTCAAACTTCCGCAATAAATGCTTCAGACCAAATTTTGGCAAAATCCAACCATTCCTCTAGAAGAAGTAAGATTTTAAAGAAATTGCTCTATTTCCCCTTTTGGGCCTTGCCCCTCCCCTTCTAGAGGGGCCCCGAGTCCCGCCAGGGCAGGTGAGCTAAAATTGAAAATCTAACTGACACACAAAGTAACTGAAATGGAAGAGTCACACTGACTTGTATTTTATGTTGCACCTATTCCAAGAGATGGATCGACTGAAAAGTTTGATGAAAATTGGAATTTCAAAAAGAATAGTGGAGCCAAATACAGAAGTCTGAAAAATGCAACCACATACACACATGTATGCACTAGTATGTCACTGTGCCCTAAATATGATATATGTTTTATATAAAAAATATTTTCATATGAAGTTTGCTGAAATCTGTGTATTTAATACTGGTATACTAAAATACAGACTCTGTAAGGAATGATGGGATTACTTCACAAAACTAGTTAATTCTGGTTGGAATGCTGAATAATACAGGTAATCTACTTAGTGACTGACAGCACATTATACTATTGATCAGCTCACAGCTACTGAACAAGTCTGTAACTCTTCACAAAGTATACAGTTATTCTACACCTAAATACACATTGATATTGGAGAGTGGACAATATTCCTCTCTTCTGTCCATAGAATATTTCCCTGAGTAACACTAACAATTACAGAACACCAGTGTTGCTGATATCTACTACATTTGTGTAACAGGACTAAGCATGAGTAAAGATACCAGCGTACACTAGCTATGTTGTAATAGTACTTTTATCAAGTCGTTATATTTTCATGTGGGATGAAACTCGGAAAGAACTACTTTACATATCTATATCAGTAAAAACAGCTATATCAATATCAAGTTTCTCAAGATATCCCTCTTGTAGTTGTGGAGAAACTCGGAAAGAACTACTTTATATATCTATATCAGTAAGGACAGCAATATCAAATTTCGTGAGATATCCCTCTTGTAGTTTCAGAGAAATGGTGGAAACAAAAAAAAAAGCAAACTAACAGATAAAAATGTACCATGAACTAAAGCAATTTGAAAAGCCTGTCATTCTGATTTGATAGTGGTCTAAATTACCATAACGAGCAATATTTTTCATTTTTCTCAAACAAAGAAACTTATAACAAAGAAAAAAAACAGATTCTTCAATTATGAAAAAATTCAAAGGAAATTTCCACAATGAAAGGTTTAAGTTTCTGTTTTAGAATTATATTTGTTAAAACTACATCAGCCAGAGAAAATACTGTGTTGATATAGTTACTGGCATTGATAGAGGGATTATCAAGCTTATACATCACTATAAATATAATTTCTCTGTGGTATGAGTCGCCAATAGGGGGCGCTATGTGTATGATTTGCACATGCAAATTAAGACCAGGGTCGTACTGTCATGTGTTACCTGTACGTGTCATTCAGGCGGCACAGGTAGGGACACACAGACGTGGAAATTTTTATTTATCATTATTAATGGAAAGGAGTGACATGTATATACATACATCGTATATTGTGTATTTGTAACAGATTAGTGTATGATTTACACGTTTGTTTAATAAATCAGTTGCAATGCCTCTGTCGCCGTGAAATACATTTTCATATTTTGTGTTGTTTATCCTATTGGATAATAAAACAGAGAACAAAACCAGCACTAACCTTCAGGACCCATTGCCTTGACAGACTCTGCTGGCGTTCTTGATTCCGACATTTTGTCTTATCTGAAGATATAAAACATAAACCATAAAATCTTTTTGTTAGATACATAGCAATAAGTTATGGTATTATCATTCTTAATCATATACTGTGTTCCTCCTACAATAGGCCCGGGTCAACATTACTTACCATTAGGGGTGGGCTTATGACAATGACATTGGTTTATGATCTGATGGAACTATTAAAAGGATAGCTTTGTACCAGATATAGGCATATTGACAGATAAATATAGTAATCACTTTATACAAAACATGTACCTAGGCCTTTGGTATCATTGGATGTTTGACTATTGCTCATCATTGTTACATGGTAAGAATGATGGAGTCGAGAAGTAAATTATATGTAGAAACTTAACATAACTATATCGCTTATGATAATTCACAAGACAAGTGTCTACAGGTTTTGTGTTAGGGAGGTTGGGTCATGTAGTGGTGATTCACTTGCCTTTCATCTAGGCAAACAGTTGATTTCCCTAAAAAGGTATAAAGCTGTGTTAGAATATTTTACATACCCATGTCTACAGTACATCTGATTATGTAGGTATTAAGTAATTGACAATATCAATGACATGGGATGGAGCATCATTCTCGTCAGGTTGCCCCAACATTTTTCAGTTCCATCAATGTTTGGGGCCATGGGGCATTGACAGGTTCTAGCCAATTGCATTTTGTACAAGCTTGCAGATTTGTAGGTTATACATGCAATGACCTACTCATTTAGCCTCCTGAACATTGGGGAATGACCATGTCCAGGCCTCTGGTGCCAATATGTTTTTAAGGTCTTGAAAGCAGAAAGCCCCATCTAACCCATCCTTTACACAGATGACATCTTTCACGTTGTAGTTACAACATAGAAGATGTCTCTTAGCAGAATACCAGTACTTCATAATTTGTGGACTGTGTTGTCCACAGCTAAAATACTGTGTAATGTTACATAATGTTACATCATCATCAAAAATTGGTTACATTTAACCCAAACCTGTGTTTGAGTTTATTATATACCCATGTTTACAGTACATCTGATTAATGATTGGTATAGGATTGTATGTGTGTAACTTGTTTCACTACTATTCTAAAATAGATAAAGTTAATATCTATATTACTGTTATACAAACCATTGACTTATTGGTGGATAAATACAAATATACCTGGCATTTCAACATGAATAATTTGAAGAAAAAAGAAAAATGTCATTCAGGACCTACAATAAAAAAACAACCCTTATCTTAAGATCCTATCTGGTGTTGTTTCAATGTAAACTTAGAATGATGAATATGAAAAGTACAATGAAAAACAAAGGGTATGACAGATGAAGTAAGATGACAAAATGCAAAAAAAAAATAAAAAAACAGAAAAAAAGTGTGTGCATGAAAACGTTTCAGTGTAAAGAAGCCAAGAACAGTACTCAGGAATTTTAATCTTGTAAGTGTCTAATTATGAAATAACCCCCCATTTTGTGTTTGTTATTTTTAAACTTTAAAACTTGCTGGTTAAAATTCAATGTGAAGCACTAGGTTTAAATGTGCTCTTGTAATAAATGCATTTACTGCTAACATTTTCATGATTACACAAAATGAAAGCTGATATGGGTCTAAAATGGTTCCTATTGTTTCATCATAGGAAGAAGCCAACACTGAAGTTCAAGGAACTAAACAGATCTTAATATTCTTTTTTGTAAAGAAACTTGGCAGTTAATTTTTAGGAACTTTATATCCTATATGGTATCATATATGATGCTGACTAATTATTGCCCAGTACCAAAACAAATCTAGCCACATCTACTTTTGTTTTAAACAGGATGACAAATAAGATTTAATTGGATAGGATCTCTAACATCAAGAGAAGGCCTTGTAGTTGACAGTGGGAAATGCATTAATCAGTTCACTCAACAACAATGTGCAGTAAAATAGCAATAAATATGTTACTGCCTCTGCTTGTAAAAAAAGAATGAAAAAGAAAACAGAAAGAAAAAGATATATAGCTTATTAATAATGGAAAAGCTAGAATTCGGAAGCTACTTTCAAAGTATCATCAGAAAGGATGATCTGAATTGCTGAAATTTCTACATTTCACTAAAACTTGACAAACAATGTGAAAACAAATATTCACACTTCAGTGTAATGTGCCTGTTGTTTCTTAAAATGAACACGATATAACTTACAAATCACTAGACTCAAATTATTCTAAATGTTCATCTTTCGGTTGCAGTTTCTGCTCAGTCTAGCAACGTTTCCATGGTGATCACGTGCAGAAAACGTCGTTTCAAAACATCCGCCCGTCGAAAGAGTTCTGAACATTTTTTCATAAAAAGCGGGATTACACGATGTTAAAAATGACCCTTGTATCGCATATATATGAAATCGTTACTGTTTGTGCTTGAAAATATACGAAATCAATGACCAACGCCTTCCTGCTTAATAAATCTTCGTCAAAATAACGAAAAGGAACTGAAAGTTTCCAGTTTGGCCGACCGGTCCAAAGGGCGGTGAAGTTTCCCTTAAATTTTTGAAAACATAATCATATTTAAACATTCGAATATATCATAAGATAACACATTGTATACCTTTTGTACTAGCTAGATAAAAATTCGGACTGTAAAGCACCTTCAAATGGAGAATTAGGTCTAAAGTTTTATCACAATTTCTCAACGTGGCACATGGAGGCTGCCATAGTCTAGGACCGCAGCAAAAATGTTTCTGAAAGAGTATCAAATGATTTTAAATAACGATTAGAATTCTTGCAATCTTAAAGATTATATTTAAAAATATTTATCAGAATAAGCATAGTGATATGTTGTTGTACGTAAAAAATCGGTCAAAGGAAGGAAATTTATATTCTGCAGCCCTACATTCAGCCAGCTTTTAGCATCAATTAGTTTCGTATTTTCTTTTTCACAAGGATTGCGCATATTGATGAATTGCTTACTTTCACTTTATGTCAAAAACGGTCGTCGCTGTTGAAATTCAAGACAATCCGATTCAAATCGATAATAACGAATCCTATGTATGTCTTTGTCTTTTTTTTGTTATAGTAAGGAAACATTCCCATCTCTCTCTCAACCCCTCACCCCTATATTTGGAATTGATTGGCGATTGTTCAGTGTTGTTTAATCAGATCACATGTACGTATATAACACATGTGTTATATACGTCTCGAATCAAATTCAGCAAAAATTAGATAGATCAGATAGCCGATTGGGGACAGTTACTGAGATCAGAGTGGAGTTCCCAATTGAGGGACCATACATCAATCTCTCTCAAAGAGTGCACTGCGGTACCAAACATTGCATTAAAAATTGTCATATTATAGATTTTTATCCTGATTGTTAGAATAATTCAAGCCAGCCACTATTTTATTCAAAATAAAAATAAATGTGTGTCATGCTGAGGCAGTAATGTTCTGTTGTTGTAAACGGTAAAAAGTAAAAAAAAAAAACTTTTTAGAAATGCCATGCCTTATCAAGCTGAAAAAATCCTTGCATTTTTGCTTCACTACTTTGAAAAGTTAATCAATTTTGCACCAAAACCTTGAACAGCATTGAATTTACCTTTGGCCGTGAGAAGGCTTCTCTCCCGGTTCCTTTCGGCCCCAAACCAGTCTGTCCTTTGTTGTTCCAGCTCAAGTCAATCCGGCACCCAACACGATAACAGTTTATATTGGTATACTTTGTGTGAATAATAATTAAATCTGTTCGTTTTATGTATGAATAGTAAGAGTTCATCCACGGTAAAAACAAAATCATGATAGAAAACAATCACAACCAATCATAATTAATCTTTTTATTGGTGATATAAATGTTCTTTTCATTTCGTCCTACAAATAATATCATCTTCTTAATCATCATCATCATCATTGGGAATATGATATGGCTTTACCCATCAACATGAACATCACCCATCAAGAAGTCCTGGCACCATGTCAATCTGAAATACAAAAAATATTGATAAAAACCTACTCTCAAATAAAACTGCCTTCAATGTTTTTTACACATCCTTACTTTAAAATGTAAAAGTATCTTTGTTTCTAAATTTTCAAAAAGCATCAACAAACTTGATATTTTACATGTAATTATATATATCACTATCTGTTACTGGTTAAGATCCATCAGATTATTGAGTATGTAAATAAGTAAGTAAATAAATAAATAATAAAAAAAAAATACTATAATCATACTACAATTGCAGTGTCACAAATCACTGTGTAGATGACACAAGATCACATATTATAAGCAATAAAAAAAATCAACAGGTAAGAACAGCTGTATGATATTGTTTGATTATTTTTAATTAGCATGGCCTAATTTCACTTTACATTACTTCAACCCAAAACATATTATTCCTTAAAAGACATAGCGATATTGTCAAGCAATTGTAGTTACTTTACACCAAATTCCTTATTACACTATTTTCGAGCAATTTATTTTGTACTGTTTGAAGATGTTTTATAGCACATAATTACGAATGGACCCCAATAGGAAGTTGTATTTTTTGAACATCAGAAAGTTTCGCTTCATGTCAAAAGAGTTTCCAATGTATTCCAAACTGTCAACTCTTGATTTGCATATCTAGCATGTTATTATCAGCATGTTGAAATGTTGTTATTTAAAGTGATTACTGTGTGAAATTTCGATAAAAAAAATAATGAATCATCAGATTTGACAATTCATCATAAATTATATATAAAAACAACAAATCATTGTATTTGATGATTTCACACTACACATATATAACACAAAAAGAAAGACAGAAAACCTTTTTTCTGGAATAAAGTCACTGAAGTAATTGAAACAAAAAGAAAAGCACCTGTAAATATTCACATGTAAATATTGAAATTTTTACCTTTAGCATTAACCAGGTGACCTTGACCTGAAATCGGATATTTTCTCAATTGATTTCAGCAGAGACGTATATATCACACATGTGTTATATATGTCCGATTTCAGTAATGTTTGCCTCAATCCTGATCACCATATATATGGTAGTTTGACAGTCCAGTCAAAGTTCCATTTTCAGTTCATTTTCATATTTAAAAATGTTTGTGCGGTCTCATAGTTTTCATCCTTACGTCTACCAATAAGTTTTTCTTTCAATTTTGTGGTATGGACCATCGGATGTATCGTTCAAAATCTAAGACACACCAACTTTCCTTAAAACCTGTAGTCGATGTAGACGTTCCGGACACTCCAAATTTCAATCGGAAAAATAAACGTCTCAGGATTTTTTTTTATATGGTCACCTTAGTCCACATTATTTTCCCAGGAATAATTTCAGACACATGATATCTTACTCGAAAACTTATGTCAACGTAACATGACATATGTTACATACGGATTGGCCGAGATGACTTTAGCCGACATTCCCTTTGGCCGAGGTGACTCCAAAGGGATTATTCTAGCAATGTGATAATCTCTTATTTTTTATAATAATGTTTGTAAATTCATAATAATCATATGCTTCAATGATTAAATCGTCGAAAATAAAGTGAAAAAGAAATACTGTTTTCGTTACGTGAAGAAATACGAAACTATTTGCTAATTCTGACTGAATTCAGGACTGCAGAAAGAGTCATTTTCCAAACGGAAGCATACCATATTGGGGATATTGTTTACTTCCGGTGAAAATGGCCTCGTTGACTTTCACTTTACACCGATGTACTCAAATATTTTCGAAGTTGTCACGAAAGAAAGTGTCACGAAATTGTTCAAATGCTGCTGTAAGGATATATTTTTTTCCTTTTTAAGGAATGCCGTTTTGTTGTCGCTGTCGTCAATCATAAAAAATGTGTTCCCATTTCGACAACCCACACAAGTTAGATGTAATATAATCTTATTTTGAATTTAGAGTTACCACGTTATAGTATGCTTGTATGCTACTAAAAATACAAATCACGTATTTGAAAGGTTTCCACGTGTCTTTAAAACACCATTCAAATGTACATCTGATAATACTTTCTCGTTACTACTTTGCTGTCTTGACGATTTAGAAGAACGATTTATATCCTTGGCACATTAGTTTCGGACCACAGAAAAGTCATTTCTCGTTAGCTATGCTGTGTCGACGAATTGCCAACAAATAAATACATAAATGAATTCAAATGTGTCCATAATATAAGATTTATTTTTTAAAACGGTGAAACAACAGTATTTTTCATTCAAAATATCCATGTATTCAACTTCAAATCTGCTCACCTGAATTGACTGACATTTGTATCGGACACGTGACTGCACTTTCGTTTCTGATGACCAAGAACAGTATCAATTTGTTATAAGACGTTATTGTGCCGACTGAGAATTCTTTCCAAGCTCTAAATCTTTGATGCTCATTCTACCATCAAATCAGGGTGGAAAGAAGGATTCAATATATATATGATATATATGTAAGCTTTATTTATTTTATATAACAGTTGTAAAACAACAACTTATTTCAGATTATGTAAATCACTGAGAGGGGTCTTACTGTAGGAGAAAACTGGAGTACCTGGGGAAAACCAATGTGGTCAGACAGTTGGCTTCCTACCTTTACAGGAGTGTTCCTGGAATCAACTTCATGGACAGCTAGGTGAAAGGGGAGTGCATTACCACTGCACCATCTCACCACTTGTTCACTGCCATAGTAATATTGTGTTAGGACTAGAATACTCGGTCCCTGACAAATCTTAGGGACATTGTGCTTCTCATACTGTCCAAGGGCAGCCTACAGGTAACCAGGCCTGTTCACTGCCATAGTAATATCATGTTAGGACTAGAACCCTCAGTCCCTGACAAATCTTAGGGACATTGTGCTTCTCATACAGGTAACCAGGCCTGTTCACTGCCATAGTGGTGTTGTCTTAGAACTAGAACCCTCAGTCTCTGACAAGTCTCCAGGAACCTTATGCTTCCCATACTGTCCGAGGGCACCCTACAGGTAACTAAGCCTGTTTACTTCCATAGCGGTCTCGTTTTTGGACTAGAACCCTTAGTCCCAGAAACACTTTGATTTCCATATTGTTCATGGAGCACCTTACAGTTAACCAGGCCTGTTTACTGCTACGAAATGTAACATGCACTTTGGGTATGACATAGCAGTCCCCCATGCACGTGCAGAGTATGTCTTATATTGTGTGTCTTATAAGTGAAATAGCTTTCAACAGGACAGTACAAGCAATTAAGCTTCCTTTATTCTGTTGAAAATTGATAAAACCCATCAGGTACATGTGTACATTAATTAATTTTTTGACCCCACATGTCTTTGTGGATAAAGTATTATACTCAGTCATCTGTTTATTACAAAAACAAATTTTATAAAAGTCTTTCAGAAAAATTGTGCATGTTTAAATATCAAAACTACAAGATGAAATTTTACTTTGAAATACCAGTATTCAATAAGAATCGTACTCAGAATAATAATTCATGGATCTACCAGCTGATTCAAAGAAGCATGTTCCATCAGGAAAGTGACAGATTCCATATCTATCTATAAGCACATTGATCCTCTTCTTTTACACCATTCCCTCCTTTTCAAGATTTAGTAAGTCACAATCAAGAATCTCAACACCACATTCCTTGAAAAAAAAACTCACATTTACTGCTCGTCCAGACAGAAATGGAGCTTCCACAGCTTCAGCTAATAAGTTATTCAGTTCTCCTTTTTAACCCAAAGTGACAATGAAATGATTAAAGTAAAAAAGATACAGGAATAGATGCTGTGTTTTGTATGAATATTAAAAAAGAAAAAAATTGTTGATTACAGTTTGCAGGATTCCCATCATTTGTGAAAGTGGTAGAGGTTGGCCCACGAGACGGATTACAAAATGAGAAGGTTGGTACAGGAAAATGTATACTAAATTGTTGAATTTGAAATGTTGATGAATTTTTATTTAGTTTTTATACAGTCAATAAAATGAATTTGAGATCATAATAACAATGTTATCACAATGTACTATAGTGCCACACATTTCCAGGTGATTCTATTTAACCTGTTATTTATTCATTGGTTACCAATGTTTCAGTGCCATGCATGATATAGTTGTGGTACCATACTTAGATTGTTTGAAAAGTCTCATACCTGTGTCATTCACTACACAGTGCTGACGTATATACAAATTTGAAACGAGAAACATCTCAGAAATGATGGTCAGACCAGGTGGATTTATATTGGCTTGGAAATTTATTGTAAAACACCTACTTTTTGTGGAATTTATTTTCGCATTATAAGAAGGGAGGGAAGGTTGCAAATTTGAATCCCTTGCAGTTATTTGTACAAAATTAATTCTGGGTGACATCTTTATTGTTATGGTTACTGGTATCAGCGTCCTTCATACTCCAGTTCTCTAATGGCCCATCTTTCCTGACTTTAAAGTCATTTATAAATCAGCAATAGCAAAAATATGTTTTCGCGAATATGTCTGAAAAGGCATATTTGCTTAATAAATTATTTACGAAAACTAAGTGATTTGCAGTAGTTTTTATGGGTTCTTTGGCAGTTTATGCATTATTTACAACAATTGAAGCAAATCTGTAAATAAGATAAGTATGGGTTCCAGCTGAGCATCTAACTCCCTTTATTAGACTAGTTCCATGCAAGTTAAGCTGGATGTGTTTGATGCTTGTTAGTCACCTGTTGGTTCTGTTGTCGTATACCTAACTCTCATTTTAGAATGTGGTATTTCTTACTTGGATTGACAAAGATTTTAAATGGTGGGTAAACAGGAGATGCTTACTCTTCCAAAACATCTTGTGTTATTATCTTTATTTCTCAAAAGTCTCTGTGTAAATCTTTTGTTCATATTTGCCGTAGCTAGTATTATTGAATTTGAGTTTGGATTATGATTTTGTTGTCATGTTGGTATTTTTTTTTCATTTTTAAGCATATTTGGTAGAAACTCATAAGCATACTACCAGAGGGGGGAGGGGGGGTAATATCTCTGCCAGGTCTCTGTTATGTAAGATTAAAATAGATAGGTAGCATGCTGTTATATACTGACTGTCTGATATTTGAAATTATAGGTTATGGTGCCAACAGAAACCAAAATCAAATTCATAGATCTGTTGTCAGAGGCCGGACTACCTGTGATTGAAGTTACAAGTTTTGTATCTCCGAAATGGGTACCACAGGTAAAAATTAATAAGTCATTCATACACCTATTAAAATTGATATCTCTATCATTTGTCTGTAAGAATTTGATATTAGTTGTTTGTTATATATTTACCCAGCAATTAGCCCAGGAGGGCAAACATAACAAAAAATCCATTGATGGGCTTATTACAGAGCCCCAGTAAGGGCCAATATGAAAAAGATATGTAAGTTGATGGGCTTATAACAGGGCCCCAGGAGGGCAAACATAACAAAAAGTCAGTTGATGGGCTTATTACAGAGCCTCAAGAGGGACAACAAAACAAAAAGTGTCATTTGATGGGCTTATTACAGGGCCTCAGGAAGGACCAACATAACAAAAAATCATTTGATGGGCTTATTATAGGGCCTCAGGAAGGACCAACATAACAAAAAATCATTTGATGGGCTTATTATAGGACCCAAGGAGGGACAACATAACAAAAAGTCAGTTGATGGGCTTATTACAGGGCCCCAGGGGAGGGGGATGTAACACAACAAAGTTAAGGCGATGAACATATTACATGACCATGGGGGGTAAACATAAGAAAAGGATAGATGATGGGCTTATATCAGGACCCCAAAGGACCAATAAAGCAAAATTAGGTGATGGACAACAAAATAGAATTTGTTCGTAATTCTACTAAACAGCAATATTTACAGGTTGAATTTATTACCAAACAATGAAAATAGAATTTGTGTGTTATTCTTCTGAACAGCAATGTAAATGGCAATGTAATGTCTACCAGATATAGACTTCTACTAGATATATACCAGTCTATATAGTCTACCAGACATAGACTTATCACTAGATATATACCAGTCTATATAGTCTACCAGACATAGACTTATTACTAGATATATACCAGTCTATATAGTCTACCAGACATAGACTTATCACTAGATATATACCAGTCTATATAGTCTACCAGACATAGACTTATCACTAGATATATACCAGTCTATATAGTTTACCAGACATAGACTTATCACTAGATATATACCAGTCTATATAGTCTACCTAGATATATACCAGTCTATATAGTCTACCAGACATAGACTTATTACTAGATATATACCAGTCTATATAGTCTACCAGACATAGACTTATTACTAGATATATAGATATATACCAGTCTATATAGTTTACCAGACATAGACTTATTACTAGATATATACCAGTCTATATAGTCTACCCGACATAGACTTATTACTAGATATATACCAGTCTATATAGTATATACCAGACATAGACTATATCACTAGATATATACCAGTCTATATAGTCTACCAGACATAGACTTATCACTATATCACTATATATATACCAGTCTATATAGTCTACCAGACATAGACTTATCACTATATCACTATATATATACCAGGCTATATAGTCTACCAGACATAGACTTATCACTAGATATATACCAGTCTATATAGTCTACCAGACATAGACTTATTACTAGATATATACCAGTCTATAAAGTCTACCAGACATAGACTTATCACTAGATATATACCAGACTTATCACTATATCACTATATATATCTATATAGTCTACCAGACATAGACTTATTACTAGATATATACCAGTCTATATAGTCTACCACTAGATATAGACTATATATCACATAGACTTATCACTAGATATATACCAGTCTATATAGTCTACCAGACATAGACTTATCACTATATCACTATATATATACCAGTCTATATAGTCTACCAGACATAGACTTATCACTATATCACTATATATATACCAGTCTATATAGTCTACCAGACATAGACTTATCACTAGATATATACCAGTCTATATAGTCTACCAGACATAGACTTATCACTAGATATATACCAGTCTATATAGTCTACCAGACATAGACTTATCACTATATCACTAGATATATACCAGTCTATATAGTTTACCAGACATAGACTTATCACTAGATATATATATACCAGTCTATATATATATATACCAGACATAGACTTATTACTAGATATATACCAGTCTATGTAGTTTACCAGACATAGACTTATCTCTAGATATATACCAGTCTATATAGTCTACCAGACATAGACTTATCACTATATCACTATATATATACCAGTCTATATAGTCTACCAGACATAGACTAGATATATCACTATATCACTATATATATACCAGTCTATATAGTCTACCAGACATAGACTTATCACTAGATATATACCAGTCTATATAGTCTACCAGACATAGACTTATTACTAGATATATACCAGTCTATATAGTCTACCAGACATAGACTTATCACTAGATATATACCAGTCTATATAGTCTACCAGACATAGACTAGATATATTATTACTAGATATATACCAGTCTATATAGTCTACCAGACATAGACTTATCACTAGATATATACCAGTCTATATAGTCTACCAGACATAGACTTATCACTATATCACTAGATATATACCAGTCTATATAGTCTACCAGACATAGACTTATCACTAGATATATACCAGTCTATATAGTCTACCAGACATAGACTTATTACTAGATATATACCAGTCTATATAGTTTACCAGACATAGACTTATCACTAGATATATACCAGTCTATATATACAGACATAGACTTATCACTATATCACTATATATATACCAGTCTATATAGTCTACCAGACATAGACTTATCACTATATCACTATATATATACCAGTCTATATAGTCTACCAGACATAGACTTATCACTAGATATATACCAGTCTATATAGTCTACCAGACATAGACTTATTACTAGATATATATATACTTTTTTTTTATTCAAGTTTTTCTCCATAATCACATACAACTATACAATCTCACCTCACAATGATCCAAATTTGTGTACACACATACATTTAAATAGCATACTGCACTGTACAACTTACACTCATTGATATAAATCTGTATACACACATACTTTGTAATAGTATACTGTACTATACAACTTACACACCAATGATATAAATTTGTATATAGAGGTACGTTAGAGGTATACATATGTATATTGAACTTACATCTTACACATAATGATATAAATTTGTATACACATGTACTTAGTAATACACTATATTTTCACAAGTTGGTAACTTAAAGTATAGTTGTATAACTTTTATTTTAATCAGCAGATTATCTTAACTTAATAACTGATTGATAAAAATCCATTTGGTTTTTTTTTATCTCTTCTTGTTTTTTTATATGTATATGCATATATTCCCATATGTTCTATTTTATTATAATAGTTAATGTATTTTCTCCCTTCAGATATTGTTGGTACTGTATTTTTCAACTTACAATAGTAAATAAAGTATCTCATGAGAATTAGTAAAAAAATAATTTCATATTCGGTGTTCCACATCTACATCTGTTACACCAAAAATAAAGATTTTTGGATGCCTAAGTAAGGTTATTTGGTATTTGTTTCCTAACATTTCCATCAACAAAAGCCAAAATGTTTTGACAACACTACATTCCCAGAACAGGTGAATAATAGTTTCCCTCTCATTTATACAGAAAGTACATCTTTCAGTTTCTGTTAGTTTACATTTCATTAGCTTTGTATTAGTATACAATATATTGGGTATTATTTTATACTGAAAGTTTATAAGTTTTGTATCATCAGTTACCTCCCTTGGCATGAGATAATCAGTTCCCAAGTTTCTTCACTGATATCAGTAGTGAGAATTTCTTGCCATTTTCTTTGACTACTTATTGGCTTTTCAGAAAATAAATGAATAAGAATATGATAAAAGTATTTTGTTACTTTATCATGTGTAGTGAGGTGATTGATTAATTTATATTCAACAGTAGGTGTATCAACATTTACATTCTGCAGAATTGCTTTCCAATTTCTTGGTATGGCATTAATAACGCCATTGTAATCTTAATAATTCACATTAATGTCATACTTAATAGAGAAATTATCATAAGACATAAAGAATATTGTTTTCTAGTAAGTCAGAAACAAAAAATATGCCCTTTTTACACCAATGTTTATAAAAAAACTATCTTTTGTCTCTTTTAATGAAACTATTAAAAAAAAATACCATCAGGGGTTGTAGGCTGTGATACCACCTCTTTTCAGGGGTTGTGGGGAGGCTGTGATACCACCTCTTCAGGGGTTGTGGGGAGGCTGTGATAAAGGGGTTGTGGGGAGGCTGTGATACCACCTCTTCAGGGGTTGTGGGGAGGCTGTGATACCACCTCTTCAGGGGTTGTGGGGAGGGGTTGTGGGGAGGCTGTGATACCACCTCTCAACATACCACCTCTTCAGGGGTTGTGGGGAGGCTGTGATACCACCTCTTCAGGGGTTGTGGGGAGGCTGTGATACCACCTCTTCAGGGGTTGTGGGGAGGCTGTGATACCACCTCTTCAGGGGTTGTGGGGAGGCTGTGATACCACCTCTTCAGGGGTTGTGGGGAGGCTGATACCACCTCTTCAGGGTGCACCTGTGATACCACCTCTTCAGGGGTTGTGGGGAGGCTGTGATACCACCTCTTCAGGGGTTGTGGGGAGGCTGTGATACCACCTCTTCAGGGGTTGTGGGGAGGCTGTGATACCACCTCTTCAGGGGTTGTGGGGGACACATTTTCCTGTATAGAAGCCCAAGCTGTAAACACTTCTCTCCAGAAAGTATTAAAATGCTTTGATAATTCTGTTAATCCTTCTTTGGTCATTTTAAAAATATTATCACCTCCAACACCCTCCAATTCATCTATGAGTAGTATTTTCCATGCTGAATGGTTCAAGGGATCAATGATTTTTTTGATCCAAGACATCTTGAGAGAATGACAAAAACTTAAAACATGTGGAAGACACAATCCCCCATTTCCATAGTCACTATACATAATATTTCTCTTTATTTTGTCTGGCTTTCCATCCCACAAAAAAACAAAAAAACATTTTTGTAGCTCATTTGTAATATATGAAGGTGGGTCCGGAAGGACAGTTAATATCTGAATAAAAATAGGCAAT